GTTTTTTTTTGTTTTCACAGTGGGACCAATGGGCAAAGCACCAAGTGCAATCAAAACCAACATCAAGGCTGCATCACAAATCCATCCTTATGGAAGATGAATTGATAAACTATATATGAACTGCAGCATATGGACAATAGACTTTGATCAAATGCAAGTGACCATGTACTTGTAGCCCTGTTCATTAGATTCTCTCCTTTCTTAAACTTGGTGTCCATCATCATGAGGGAGGAATCTTTGTCTTTGCAAAGTGATATGATTATCCTGTCAGATTGCTGGCTATAAGATGTGTTTTTAGATAAGATACTGTCCTTACAAGCAAGCTTCTCTGCAGACTGTATCCTCCATATACAGAAAGGATTATCCCTGCAGAATGGCATGAAGAGCACTTCATGACATACTTAGCCTTAAGATAGCAGATTGGTCTTGCATCAGAACTTCATAGACTAATGTACTGATATGGAGCTGGAACATGTTCATGAGTTATGTCCAAATATAACTAAAATTGTGTAATTTATAGTGTTAGCAGTTTGTTTGCTTATTTTTATATTTTTAAATAAAGGTATATAGTTCATTTGTTCAAAAAGCTGGCTAGTGTAAGTCTGCCTCACCAGGGTGAACTGGCACATTGTCCCTATATGTAAGCAACTGGTGGTCACAAGGGTAATGCATATAAAGCACTGTTCTCCAATTCCAGCTATGAGCTTCCTACACATGAATTCTTTAACAGAGCAAGAAACCATGGCTGTGGAGTCAGTATTAAAACCTCCCGACTCCTTCATAAATGCTCAATATGTATTATTAATGGTAAACCTACTAAAATGGTAAATGGTACCACAAGAGATTTCATCACCACCACATTAATCATCAGGCTACTTTTTAGACTTATAACATACAGGTGATTCAAAAGGTTAGAGCCAAACTGAAGGAGCGTATAGAGGGACTCAGAGAGAACAACTTTCGAATAGGAATCCATGTCCTCCGAAGTTATCCTGAGTCAGTCGAGGCCACTGAAGGTAGGGAAGTCTGATAACATACCACTGAAATAATCACACTTTGCTATTCTTCTACTAGCTTAATTTTGTTTTTTGACGTAAATACGTCTATATTGAAGGGTCATTCAACAAAAAAGGGGAATGAAAAAGTGTAACCTGGTTACTTAGGAAATGTCAATTGTTTACTCGACATTATTGTTACCTAGGAAACGTCATCTGTTTACTCAGCATTATTGGTACCGAGAAAACGTCATCTGTTTACTCGGCATTGTTGTTACCTATAAAACATTTCATTACATTACCTTACCTTACATTTCATTTCATTACATTATATTCAGCTACCACAGACCCATCTTAAGCGTAACTAATTCAAGTTAAATAAGCAAACTCAAACTTTACTCAATTGTAAAGCATGTATAAAGGAAATATTTAGAATAAAGCCAATATATAAACTTCCTTTCCGTATAGACGTATTTACGTCAAAGTCTCCGGAACCGTGGTTCCACTGTCAATGTTTTATTAATGTACAAGGATTACATTAGCAATCTTACAAACCAAATTTACAACAGGTGTTCAAAGTGGCATCCTCCACATTCAATGCAGGCATTGCAGCGGTGAACAAAACTTTGGCGCACCCCTTCAAATACCCCAGGAGTCTCATGGACCACGTCAGATGCAGCAAGTATTCTGGCCAAAAGTTGTTCTGGGTCGTCCACTGGTGTCTCATAAAAGAGGCTCTTGACATGTCCCCAAAAGTAGTAATTGAGATATGTCAAGTCTGGGGAGCGGGCTGGCCATTCAACTGGCCCTCCTCTCCCTATCCAACGCCCGGGATACGTGCGATTCAGAAATTCCCGCACGTCAAGAGTAAAGTGTGCTGGCGCTCCATCCTGTTGCATCCACACTTGCTGACGCACGATAAGTGGCACATCTTGTAACAGCTCCGGTACAGTTTATTCCAGAAAGATTCTGTAAATGTGTCCATTCAAATGTGGCAGGAGGTAAGGTCCGATCAAGTTATCACCGATGATACCTGCCCATACATTCACTGCAAACCTCTCTTGGTGGTTGCGAGCAATGGTAGCATGGGGGTTCTGTTCAGCCCAAACATGACTGTTATGGCAATTGAAGAAGCCATCTCTGGTGAATGATGCCTCATCCGTGAACAATACTCTATATTACTACAAATTGGTGCATGCTCTCATTTTCATTTTTCAACTTGTTTAGAACAAAGCCTGAAATAAAACTTGTACATATATAAAACTATAGATTATGTTTCTTGCAATAAAATAATTCTAATACCAGTTAAGAACACCTTTCATAAAAGATAAGCAAACACATTTTCCATTTACCACCATGACATTTCACCATTGCTGCTGTAAAAAACCTTTTTAAAATGATCAATTTGGGGGTCTTGAACACTGACATGTATGTCTTTATTTTCTGGCTACCAGAGCAAAGCATCGTGGTGACATGCCATCATCCATTACTTTGACTATCTCCACAGATGACACTGCATGTTCCTGTAAATATGCAGCTCGGTCTGCCAATATGAAGCTCTCGGCAACACCCTGAACAGTCATCTGGAGTGCTGTCACAATTTCAGCCAGATGGCATGATGCTTCATGGTGCTGCCACAGCTCTGCCACTTGGAAAAAAATTGTTGAACTATCACAGTGACTTGTATTTGTGTTGGCAATAAATTTGTATCGCTTCAAAGCATCATCCATAAAGCTCTCAAATGTTGAACGGTTGGTCTTTCTGACACCACGCCGACATTTCTTCTTTAGAACTAAATCCTCTGTCATGAAAATAAAAGCCACAAATTAAGTAAAATCAAAGACTGTATTTTTTACACTTAAAGGCAACTGAAGTAAAACTATTATGCATGCAAAGTGTCAAAACACATGAAAAACACGTAAAATTTAAATTGAAAGCACGTATAGCTATAGAGCCCTACAAAGATCAATGTGAAGATAGCAGAAAATAATAAAAATGACTTAGGGCCCAGCAATGTGTTTTGGTGTTAAACATTTATATTCCACAGTAACAGGAAAATGCTTGCATACCATTGTGGGCATAGAGTTGCAGTACAGCACGTGCCATCACTTGGAGACTGTGCTCTTTGTGGTCTTCTTCTGACCACTGCTGCCACCTGGCTGCAGTCTCTTGAGATGCGAGTCTCAGAAATGGACGGCACAGGAAGGATGGAGAATCGCAGAACGCAGCTGAATGAATGAGATGGCACAATGATGAACTTAATGGGAAGTTAGAGAACTTTCCATCTATCACAGCTGTGTCCTTGGCCAAACTCATCTTGTGGTAGCAGCAAGGAACCAAAACCAAAAGCTTAACAGAGACTAATTGAAAGAAAATTCGAATAGCATCCACAGTCAGATCCCCACATGTGTGTAGACCAGTCATACACAGTGAGGTATTGCTTGCACCAAATAAACCACTGTCTGAAGACACAGGTTGGGAGAGCATTCTCCCTTCATTATTACATTCTCCTGAATACACATGAGCACTTCCATTTACCTCATCAGAATGATAATAAGACTTCTCTACAGAATGCTGTTCACAACCACCAGTGCACAATTCCAGTGAAAGCTTCCTGTTCAAAACACCGCACTCATAAGAACATACCTCTGAAAGACCACAGTTGCAAACATTGTCATTCATGAAGTCTTGTATTTCACTTTCAATAGAGTGATATGATTCTGGTGAGATGCTGCAAGTGACATACTTTACTGCTGGTGACGGACACAGGTCTGACTGATTACGAGATGCTGTCTTCACACGTTCAGTGTCCACCTCCAGCCCAAGAATGTGGTAGCCATACCAGTAGTGAAGCAGCTGGCCCAGATAACCCTACCAACATAACATGAAAATCTATATCTTAATTGCGTCATGTTTGTGTTTTATTGATACAATATTTTTATTTTCCGTCTATACACAAACTTAAAATAATGTTGTTTAAAATTATCTAAAATTATAACATTCTCAGTAGACACTGCATCTTGTTACATTTTTTGTATCGACGACATTGAAACAACATTATTTTAAGTTTGTGTATAGACGGAAAATAAAAATATTGTATAACATGAAAAGTTAATTACACCATTAATATGTAACTTGATATACTCTATGGTTGACCAGTAGATACTACGTGTTTCTCCCTTTCGTTTATAGTACATTTATTTGAATTGGAAATGAGTGACAAACTTTGTACAACCCTAAACCTGTTCCACAAAGATTCTTGATCACAAAACAGTTTTCATCTAAACAAATCGACATGCTGCTGGTATAAAGTGGATATAAAAAACAATTTTCAAACATTCACCTTTATCATCCTTGCATCATGGTTTACACATAATCCAGCTAGTCATACTTAGCTATGTGTTGCATTAGCAGAGTGCTAAACTGTTAGCCCCCAATGTTAAAGTCTGGCTGGTGCTACCCAATATTATGGGGGTCAAATACCCTATTACCATATGATAAAGATAATGGTAGAAAAATAACACTGATTTATGGAATAAATTTCCTCTGGTAAACTCATCACAAACTGCGAGTTAGGCAGTACGCTTCAGATATTTCTATTTTGCTCCAACCAAACAAAAAGCTACTCTGATCTAAAACTATAAGCAGGTCTTTAATAAATGTTAAAAACATATACATGATTTTCTAACATTCATTCATTAACTTCCAGTAAAAGCACTAAATTAATTAATTCACATATTCTCTCAGCCAGTTCTGTTCATATCCCCTCCTCATGTCCAATTTCCCATGTGTGTGTTGAAAATACAAAAATTTGTTAAAATAAAATGCAGCTGTCATACACATGCCCAAAGTACTGCTACTATTTTTCTATAAAGAAGCACTACTTTTTAATTTTAACATGGCATTCATACAAAGTTTTGAGGTCCTCAAAAAACCATTAGTTCCATTAAATGTACAACCTTCAATTTGTTTATAGTGATAAACATTTCATAAATACATCTAACAGTAAGACACGCAGTGTTACAAACTACAAGGCACAATCCTTCAGAATCCTAAAATATACAATTTCAAGTGCAAATGGTTTTATACTTGTTATCATCATCATCATTGGCTCTACAGCCCTGTGAGGGCCCTGGTCTCCTTCAAAAGCTTCTTCCATTCTTCCTCATTCACAGACAATGTTTGCCAGTCCACTGTGAATGAGTCCATCTGGCAGTTGCTTCATCTGATTTTGTAACAAGTTGCTTTTTACAGGGTTGGGTTGTCAACCCAACCCCCAACCTGGAGGACCAGACCTCCATATTTATTGTTATTAGTTACTATAAATTTAAATTTTGAAACACCATAGAACAATCAATGACATACAGACTGGTAAATTATTCCTGTGGTTAACATCATGTCATCTAGGAAAAAATAAAACTGGATGCATGGAAGTTCATCCACCTATATTCTTAAATTTTCCACAAGACATAAATGAGTGATTAACTTCATGTCATGGTTCCCCTTGATCTCCATACCAGGTTACTAGGCAGTTTTCACCAGATCACTGTAAATGTGGTATTGAAGAGAAAGATCTCAACACCTCTGCATTGCTTCACTGCTCAAATTATCATGAGGAAAGAAGAACCAAAAAGGAAAACCTGCAATATGTGACCACTGCACTCACCAGACCAGCTCCCACATCGAGCACTTGGCTGATCCCATAATTATGACACTCTGCACTGATCAAAGCTGCCAGGTTCATCACCTCATGCTGCTTCTTGGGTGTCAGCCGCCTACATATTTTATCTGGGAGCTCTGGTACAGGTTTTATAACTCGTTGTATAGGAATCTTGAGTGTATGGCATCGATGGCAGAAGCGAATAAGAGATGGAGGCCAGTCATCCTGTACAAACACATTTAAATAAAGTAATGCTCTGTAACAGTGAAGAACTCCATGAACACTCAGTGGGCATGAATGGTGGAGTGGGATTAACTTGGGCAGAGGTCAACATAAAATATACACTTTTAAAACAGTTTTTAAATTGATTGACCTGATGATGGTGTAATACACCGAAACATGTCGTCAAATGTGAAATGTATCAAGATCTACTTCTAAAAAATGTTGTAATTTTATGTAATTTTAAGTAAATTTTAACAACATTTTAAGTTTGTGTATGGACGGTGAATAAATTATTATATAAAATATGTTTATATGAAGCAAAGTGAAGGGTGTAATAACACCTTAGGTTGAGCTCATGTTCATGACCTGGAAGCAGTAGCATTCTTGATAAAAGTATTCTGGTCACATTTCATAGTGAAAAATATAGTAATGAGTGAAACAGAAACCTGAAATGGATTGTATCTGTCAGTGTTATAGCAATATCTGAAGGTTAAAACATACTTTTCTGCCAAATAAAAAGTGCATTTATATAATGCTTATAAATATTGTGTTGTGTACATGTTTCTAGTATAATGAATAGTTGTCAAGAAATGTGATAAAACATGTTTGGAAGAATATAGTGTGCCAAGAATAAAGAGAATGACAACAAAGATTATGGATATTTTCTATATATTCTAATTTTTAAACTCTTGTGGGAATATTAACAAAGACTTGAGACTTAAAACTCTACTCTCATAAAACACCAGGACACTTTTTATTTTTTAGCATTTGTCCTGCTTTGGCAAGGTCTGTTGTTTTCCTCTTTTTTGGATGGTTTTAAAGTAGGAGACAAATACCCTCCCCTCACTGTTCATATCCTGAAGAAGAATTAAGCACATGTTACAGTGTAAGTATCCACATGTGAAAAAGGAATTCAATCCATATTTTACATATTACATGAGAACATATAAATGTCTATGTCTATGTCTAAGATGGAAGTGTCACTATACCATCACAAAGCCCTGTGGTAGGATGTTAAGTTGTTGGTTGGTAAGGCTGAGCAGAGCAGGTAACCAGTCCGCAGGAATCTGCTTGAATACATCCCGTACCAGTAACTCTGTGACAGGGAAATTGTACACCCAGCTATAGTCTCTCAAGAAGCTCAGGGCATCAGAGAAGTAACTGGCATAGTCAGCGTAACCAGGTGGCACCAACATGACCTGTCAATAAATGCAACTGTGATATGCACACTTTTTTGAAAATCATATTTTATTAAATATAAATTAAAAAATAACACTCTGCTGATATTATCTGAGAATTCAACACCATAAGCACCAAAATCTGTCATTTGACCTGATTATTAGGGCAGTTCAATTCAGTTCCTATCCTTAGAACCAGTTTTGATGTTCCCCATCTTGATACAAGTACCTCACCATTTCTAGGATAAGAGCATAAGTCACAAAGTTCCATTATTAGACAAGACTTAATTCAATTTATTTGTCCCTCTTGGCCTACAGCACTGCATTCTCTGGTGCTTGAAATTTATGTTCCTTCCTTAACCAATGGGACCATGTAAACAAATGGGCAAACAGATAACAGCAACTACACACAGAACTTCTAATGTGGTTAAAGGAAAGTAGGAAATCAAAATTACATTCACCAAGATGTTAAGAGCAGATTACAATCAAGGAATGATTGCCACCATTCAGTTCAGAATCAGCTGTCTTCCTCTCTTCTATCTAAAAATGTAAAAATTAAAATATGCGAAAGTATAATTTTACCTGCTGTCTTGTTTGAGTGTGAAACTTGGTATCTCATCCCACGCAAAGAATACAAATTCAGGGTTGTGAACATGGTGCTAAGGAGAATACACCCAAGAGAGTAATAACAGTAGAGCAGAGGAAATTACTTACTGAGGAGCTTCATACTTTGTACTCTTCATGAAGTATGTATCATAATATCAAATTGATGGTGAGATGATTAGTGGACACAGCACATACTGGGGAGATAAAATATGTATACAAATTTTTTTAGCTGGAAAACTTGAAGATAAGAAACAACATAGGAGACCTATTCATAGGTGAGAGGAGAAATTTGGATCTTAAACTGAAATAAAGAGTGAGGATGTGAACTGTATTCAAATGGTTCAGGCCATGGTCTAATGACAGTAATGAACTTCTGGGTACCATAAATGAGAGGGAATTTGTTGATCAGCTGAATGACTATGAATGTCTCAAGAATTATTCTGCTCCTCGTAATTGTAATTACTATACCATTTGTTTCTAACAATAAATTTCACTAGAAGAAACACCATAACTGATATAACCATTGTTAATAATCAACTGGGCACTGTCCTCCTTCATAAACAAATAAAAGAGACTCACTGATATAAATATTCCAAATGTTAATAATCTTCAATACTTCCATATTCAGAATATTATAATACACACATGTTGGAACAATAAATTAAACAGATGTGGAAGCAACAGAACATAGCATAAACTGTGTTCTAAAACTGGTATACTTCTCAAAACATTACAACAGTCCTCAACAACACATCTACAAACAACTATAAAAGACTGTGATATCTTTATATTATGCAAATATGTGTGTGAAGAGGTATCTGAATGAAAAAAATGTATTTGAATTATAGTAAAATTCCAATCTTGCAGTGACTGCCTCTTTGATTTTCCTTGATATTGTCAACAAACCTTTCTATACTCTTTGCGAACACCATCATACTGAAACCTGATCTATTAATTTTACTATTGCAACAAATTAGGCTTGTTGCTCCTGCACTTCAAATCTCCATAACTTGTCCACATTCATTGACTGACTCATCAATCTCACTCAATTTAATACTATGGGGTACAGTATTTCAATATGAACTCTTTTGATTATATGCATGTACTTCAGTCTGACCTTGTTAATGGTCTTTACCTTCCCTTCTTGATATTAACTGCAATCCGTTCTTCTCAGTAATGATATTTTCTAAGCTGCTATGCTGAGTGGCACTGTAAAGTGGCTGGAGCATACAGCTGACAATTCATCTCCATCTAGTGTTATGCCTTACATAACAGTTCCATAAAACTCACTAGTTTTAGGAGTCACACAATAAAAATAAAACATCTGGTTAATCAAAATTCACTTTTTATTGCACTCATCATACTCACATGTCCATTTGTATGTGTGTGTACACAGGACTCCTAACAATGAATGAATAACTGGACAGATTTTCATGAAACCTGGTATACCTGGCCACTGGTAGACACATCATCTTAATCTATATTTAATTCTTCACCAATGATATTAATTTGGCAGCCACTCAAACTGTTGTGGTACAAACAATAACTAGCATCACTTATAATAGTGCCCTGAAAGTGTGCAATATTAAGTTCTGTTAAGGTGATTCATTTGCAATCTTGCTTATGCATTTTATGTTAAAAAGTTGCAAGCATGACAGTGGAACAGTACATCAAGAATCAATACCAGTGAAAATTATGCACAGAAATTTGTTGGTCAATTATTTCTATAACTGAAGACAAGGGAGTAACAATGTGCTACCCCAGACTTCATTAAACATAAAAAAGAAATATAAAGACAAACATGTCTGCTATAATTCCACTTTGTAAGATTCTGAAACAACAAATTTAAAGAAAATAAACCACACATGGCACAGCCTGCAACCATATAAAAGCAGATGGTGATAGAGAGATTACATTTAATTGCCATTATTTCAAATATTATAACTTTGAGGGATAGCCCACTCTTGCCCCCAGGTCAAACATAAATTTACAATATCTATTAGTCTCTGGACACAGTTTTACACAAGTAACTATGTCATGGCACAGAACACTTCACACTTATTATTAAGTTCAATAAATTTCAGAACATATGTAATTGTGTTGTGACACAAAATGCCTCATTATGTCACTATTTGCATCAATTAACAACTGAATATATCTTAAGCATATCCAGCCTCATATCAAATATGTACTAGAGGACTTTTTGTTTGCTAATGGCAGATCACTCGCCTCTTTCTGTTGCTTGAGAATGCAAGTCTGACATTTGTCTCCCAACTTCCTTATATGCCTTCACAGCATGCTCTTTAGGCAGAGACTTAGTAAAGGATCCAAAACGCCTAATATTTTTGGCATGTCATTTTAAGCAGACAATCCAATCAGAGGTGTTGTAGTTAAATACTTACAATGACTCACTTTGAGGGACATAATATATCACACTCCAACAATTTATCCATGGTTCAGATAACAAAATAAATCACAAAGGAAACCAGTAGGATTTGAGGTTCTTACAGCAGTGAGTATGAAGATGGCTGTCTTCTGAGTTGAAGTTGGTAAAAGTTTACTAATATTTCAGAGGTCCTTGCTGCCTCCAACATCAGCCCTGACTACATGGCACTATAACCAGAGGACAGCAATTCAGAAACCAGTACATTTTTGAATATGCTGGAGCAAACCCTGCATCTCTAGCTCAAGCTGTTGATTTCCAACATTTGTTTAAATTAAATCTCACTTTACTGTGTGTTTTCTATTTCATATTGCCAAATTTCCAATCTGCCACCTATATATATATATAATGTGTGTGTACAATATTAATGCTAATATTAAATATGTAACTTGTTCTTTCACAAAGACATTGGTTCAAGAGCATGTTTCTAAGTAGGATTTGAGGTTCTCACAGCAGTGAATACAAAGAAGGCAGTCTTCTCGGTTGTAGGATCACATAGTTTGGTATACGTTTACCAGTGTTTCAGAGGTCCTTGTTGCCTCCATCATCACCTTGACGATGGAAGCAGCAAAGACCTCTGCATAGTCAGGCTTGAAGGAAAGATTTTAAAGTGTACAGTTTCTTCCAAAAGTGTCAAAAGATGAATAAAGCAGGCTTAATTTCTCAAAATGCCAAGACCTAACAACTGAAGCATGTGGTGTTCATAAATCAAGTGTTTCATGGATCTGTAGGAACACAAAGAAATCTATTGCCCAATGACATCCAGTTTTAGCTGCTCCCTTGATATAATCAAAACAGCAAGGTTTTGTATGCTTGTATACACACACAGCTCTGACAGTTTTCCATGCATATATGAGTACAGAGTGCTCACTAGTAACATTCCAGTGACATCATTGTCTCCCTTCAAATGTCAGAAACTACGAGTCCAATAACATTAAGCCACCACTTCTGAAGATTCAACAACCCATCCTATCTACTGTGTACAGCAGTAAAACTGCTGGAAACCAAAATGTTATGGTACTGAAAAAACAGAAAGATGCACATTTCCTTCATATAGAGCATAGGCACTAATGATGACTGGCTCTAAATTTAACATCTATCAGAAATTAATTATTATGCCAAAATAATTATGTTTATCTGATTAAATTTTATATCTTATGTATGAAATGTCTAGTGACCGGGACAAAATGTAACAATATGAACAAAAATGTTTATTTACACCCCCAAGTAAAGTGAGAGTTGGTTGATTGGAACAGTCTAAAAGGGTATGAAATATCAAAGTCTCTTTATTGTAAGAATGATGTGTAACAGAAATACAGACATGCCCTTTCCATGAAAGGATACTAATGAGAGTGGTAAGGTAATGCAAAGGAAGACAAAGGTCCCACACATGAAAACTAATTTTCTGCTCAAGAATCAGCCTACAGACATTAATTCATCATAGACCCTGCTTCGGTAACAAACTGGAGTGAGTGGCTTTCCACGTTCACAATAAAAAAACACTGAAACACTTTTAAATCAATCTAATATTATCACATTATTTCAAAAAATCTAAACATCCTGCTGCACAAACTCCCAGATTTCTTTTTTCCTGAGGTGTAACACTTCGTTCTTGGGACCTAGAAGAGCACATCCACATTTTGACTGACTATTCTGTCCCAGGTACTCCTCTGCCACTTCTATGATGTCCTGTCGTGTTACAGACATCAACGCAGACCGATGCATCTGCAGTAAAAGGTCATCAATACCATATAGAAATTTATTCATCCCTTTTGAGCCAGGTGGTATTGGAGCATCAACAGTCTGGAACACACCAAGCTTAGCCTCTTCTATATCTTCATCAGTAAATGAGTTCTGCTGGACCCACTCATTGGCTTGATCAAATATGTCAAAAGTCACTGCAGAGTTTGGATCTCGGTATGAGTAGAAATTCAGAACTCCAGATGGAGAGAGAGACAGCCCTGAGCCATAAGCTCCACCTTTCTCGCGGATTTGTGGATGTAGGAACTTCGATGTGATGAGTCTAGCCATTACTCGCAATGAGGAAAAATGGGAATGACAATAGTAAACAGTGGACACTGATTTAGCTGCAAAGTTGACGGGGATGGAATGGATATGGTGGAAACCCCGTACAGGCAATTTCTTAAGGTAGTAGTTAGGATCCTTGGTTTTCAACAAGGGCAAGCCTGCTCTCCCTGACAGAGAACCTAAGAACATTTCCACTTCCTTCAGCACAGCATCTTCAGTACCTGGATTCAAGTTTATTGCACATCGTAAATGGTTCTTGTTAAACACTGTCTGTGAAATTTGCCCCATCTGGGCCAACACATGGCTCAAGTCTGACATCTGAGATATCTCTTTCATTTTCCCCACATAACTAAGGCCAGAAGAAAGTTCCTTCCTATATGAGGCTGGATTCACAACACTTGCTGCACTAGACATGGCATAATGATGTCCCATGTCAGAAATCCCACTGATGAGCTGTACAGCAGCCTCCCGGACCAGAGTCTCAAATCTCTTCATATCACTGTATGAGCCTTCATTGAAGAGTTCAGTCCACAATGTGAACATATCTTTCACATTTCTATCCAGACAATAGGAAGAAAATAATATTCCTTCTTCATATGAGTTCATTTCCATGGTGTCATCAGCAATGTGGTTGGTGACAGTGAGTCCTCCTGTTTTCAGCTGAGCAAGTTGATGTAGTTCTTGGTAGGTGTGCCTTTGGGTTCCCATCTTTGTGGCAATCTCACAGAATAGAGGAACAAGCATCTTGAGTTCACTGCTTAGTTCACTGGTGTTCAAAATTCCTCTGAAGTATGTCATGCCATTTGTGGGTTGAACACACACTTGAATAGGTACGGACAAGATGTCTACATCTGTTAAGGGCGTTAAGTCAATTTCTTTTTTTAGATCTTCCACATGTAATGCTGGAAGAATCGAAGTGTCTTCAGTTTTCTCTTGTTCATTACGCAGTTTCAAAGCTTGCTGGAACAGTACTTCTTTATCCTGCTGTGATAATGCAGCCAATTTTGTGTGCAAAACCTCCTGCTCAGCCTTAGCTTGCTTTACCTCATAGTCTTCATCTGGTGACATTGTAAGTACAAGTCTATGAGTATTTTCTTTCATGTACTTTACTACTTTATCCTGCAGGTGGCATGGATTTTCACGCAAGCTGCGTCTAAGTATGGATACCTGATCTTCCACCTTCATTGCTTTCACCAAGTCTCCGTCATGATTCCACAGTGATGTGAGTCCAAACAACAATCCCAGACCAAAGTTAGCTGACTGGTGCTTTATGTTCAACTCAATGCCATGCAAGACTCCCTCTATATGCTTCTCATCAAACCCTTCCTTCACAACATTTGTCAAGGTTTCATTATAGAGCTGTACAACTTCATCAAAATCCTTTGGATTCACTCCTTGAAGACCCACAGTGAAAACAGAGTCTTTAGTCTGCACTTCATAACCAGTTGCAGGAGCAAATGCTGATCCAATATTGGGCTCAATGAGGGTCTTGTAGAATGCAGAGTTGGGGCCATGTACCAAAAGTTGTGACAGGACCTGCAGCTCAAATGTTTCTTGAATGTCTGTGATATCAGAGCATAGCACACTGATGGCAATAGTAGAATGTTTCTTAAGATCAGTAGACATGTAATCAGGCCGACAACATATGTGTTTGTGTCTCTCTGCAGACCATCTCCTTTCAGAAGGTACTGAAGTGTTCCTACCATCTTCAGGTAAGGTATTTTTAAAATTAGACAGATATTTGTCATTAACATATTTCAGATGATCAACCAAAGGAAAATTTCCATACGAATAGAATCGTGAATTGCTAGGACTATAGTAATGAGCATGGAATGCTTTCAGATCTTCATATGTCAGGTTAGGAATGACAAGAGGGTCTCCCCCAGACACAAAGCTATATGTATGTCCAGGAAGGATATTATTTAAGAGATTTTGTTCAAACAAAGACTGGTTCTCTGAGAATACACCTTTCATCTCATTAAACACCACACCTTTGATGATTATTGGAGACATGGGGTCGTTCAGGTTTTCATGTTCTAATCGCCATCCTTCTTGTCGAAAATCAGACTCCTTCAATTGCGGGTTGAATACAGCATCCAAATACACTGACATCAAGTTCTTGTAATCTTGAATATTCTGAGTTGAAAATGGGTATATGGTGTAATCAGGACCTGTCATTGCATTCATGAATGTTGCCAAAGACCGATTCAACATCTTGAAAAATGGATCACGACAAGGATAACGCAAACTGCCACACAGCGTAGTGTGTTCTAGTATGTGTGGCAAGCCTGTAGAATTATTTGGGGTTGTTCGAAAGCCAACAGAAAATACATTGTTCGTATCATCACGCTGAATGTGGAGATACTGTGCCCCCGTCGGCTGATGAAGTAAGCGGTACGCTGACAGACAAAACTCAGGTATTTCACTCACTTCTTGCACCACAAATCCTTCAAGTTCTTTACCTTCACTTACTTCTGTAAGTTTTGAACTCGTCAGGGATCGAACCATTAACTTTTGTGGTGCCAATTTCGAGGATGTGGTCCTAATGCCTGCTTTTAATGAACAATTCAAACCCGTCTTATTTTGCGCACAACTTCTACTTCCGTGCTGCAAATACCTTCTGCTGCATAGGCCTATATAATGTCCACTGCACAAACCACTTACCCGATTCAGCCCTATCATATTCGAAACGACTTAGAAATGAATGAGATATAAGTTAATAATTTCCGAAAGAAAGAATGCTAGAAAAGAAGCTTAAAGAAGTTCGGAATTCAAGTACTGAAAGAACTAATGCGGTTGAGGTTAGGTCCACTGTTAAGAATGTATCGACAGTAAATCCGTCACTGTATCATCAAACGAAAATATTTCGGTGGCAAAGGCCATTAAATGTAAAAAATTCATTACACTGACCTGTTCAATACAAGCACACTTAGTAGCTCATGTAACGTAAAACAGCAATGTCTACAGCGTCAATTTCAATCATTGCGTTCGATTTGCGTCAATTAGTTGAATTCGATCAGTGGTTAAGGAACGATTGGACCACAGTAACCAACGACATGAATTTAGCTCTGTTGGTCCCTTGGGAAATCGTAAAGTCTGCAAATATAAAACCATAGCCATAAATATAACATACATTTATGTGTAGAAACTGTTTCCTTTTGTGACTTATGTAAAGTGAAGTACAATTATATTTTTAATGTATGTAATATTGTACTAAATATGATCCGTGTGGTAATGCAACTGACAGAAGAAACAAAACGGAACAAAATTTAAACATGGCGTGTATGTCGAAGGGTGATTGGTATTCTCCAGTGCAGTTTTGGCGCAGTGGACCTTCTCCAGGAAGTTTGTACAGTTTTCCAGGTGTTTTGACTGCTGAAAACACACGTTTTTCCCAGAGATCACAGTGAGGTTCTATTTTTATTTACAATTCTAGCAGAACTCGGAATTTCGAATATTGCATGTCATCTTCAGATTGTATGAACTCTCGTTTCAGTGATCAACATTCTTGCCCTCAATTAAAATTGTTTCAGAGCACCAATTACGACTGGAACATCCGTACTTGGAATAGCATTTGATGGAGGGGTTGCAATCGCTGCAGATGTTCTTTGCTCATATGGGTCTCTGGCAAGATTTCGAGACTGCCCTCGAGTAATGCATGTGAATGACAATATAATTCTTGGGGCTGGTGGAGATTACGCAGATTACCAGTATCTGAAAGATGTTATTGAGCAGAAAATGTAAGCATCCAAATTTATATGCATACACATAAAGTATTTCAGAATGTTAACAATTTGTAATTTCTATCTTTAAATTTCTACTCCATTGCTACATGTATCATGTATCTTTGTGTCCTGTTGCAGCCTTGAAGAAGAATGCCTAAATGATGGTTTCTCACTAAAGCCAAAAGCTTTGCATTGCTGGCTAACTAGGGTTATGTATAATCGCCGCTCCAAATTGGATCCATTTTGGAATAGTTTCATTGTTGGTGGTTTGCAGGATAATGAGCCGTAAGTGTTCAAGTGTTATCAGTAGTAACATGAATGAAAGGTACTAATGTTAAAGGTTTTCCCTTTGTTTAGAGTTTTCAAGATTTCTACTTTATGTAAACATCTTATCCTACTTTCCTAATTTTATAAGGAAAGATAAATATATGTTAGTATACCATTTGCCTCTTCCTGATAACATCTGAATAACTGACAGATCATCATGGAATGTGGAACATACAGATCACCACACCCTCTTATTTTTGACGTAAATACGTCTATATGGAAGGGTCATTCCGCAAAAAACTGTTACGAAAAAGTGACAGAAAAATGTGTAAGATCCGTATCAACAAATCTACAACAATGTGTAAATATGGACCGACAACAATGGTCAGCTTGCATGCATTATTATGTTACCTAGGAAACATCATCTGTTTACTCGGCATTGTTGTGTTACATTACTGGCGTCACCAATCCGCTTTCGTAACAAGATGGATGACATTGAAGATAACATTACATTACTTTACATTACATTACATTATATTACAGAGACGTAAATATAATTTAAATACAGAGACGTATTTACGTCAAATTCTCCGGAACCGCGGTTCCACTGTAACTTTTTTATTTCTTACCAGTAGTAATACCAGCGAGGAGGCTAGGGATCGATTTTGGGCTGTTACGCCATAGTAGTAGTAGTAGTAGTAGTAGTAGTAATACCAGCATGATATCCATGAGAACTTCTGAGACACTAGTGCACTAGCATAGGATCCTGAAGCTTATTATATCTTAGACATGCAGTTTTGTTGAGGCAGTATTTTGTATAATGTAAAACAACATAGCAGTTGTTCAAGACGTACAGGCGTTTCAAAAACATATACACATTTTAGTGAGAAATATCTATTCATATATTCATGGTGGAACTAAAACTTAATGTGCAATTTAGTTGTGTGACATGCGCTTAACAGATGGTATTGGTCACAGTTGGACACTGCAGTTCCTCATCCATGATTCAGATTGAAATACTGACTAGTAGAGGTTTGCAAAACTTATGAGCAGTGCACATCAATCTGAAGTAGTACTGGAAGTTTGAGAACATATGTGAAGTGCAACAATAGTGGAGGTGTGAGTTTGCAACTGAGCCTCCACCATGACTAAATTTCAAGAATTTGTGATAAATTTGAGACTGATGGTACTGTGCATGATGTGTACGAGGAACAATCTGGGAGACTTTGCTTGAGTAAGGAAAATTCGCTATGGTGCTATAACAATTCACATGAACACCGAAAGAGTCTCTAAGACAGTATGCTGGGGAGACTGAAATTGGAATAACAGGTGTACACCAGACCCTCAAAACTGGGAAGTGGAAATGTCTTGTTCAAGGGCTGTTACATGAAATGGTTTAAGACAATTCTGGTTGCTGAACAGTTTTGTAAATGGTTTTAAAGGAAGGTGGATGCACAATTTGTTTGATCTGATGAGGCAAAATTGAACCTCAGTGAGACTATTTCTTTGAAGGGACAATTACTAGAGCTTAGTACCTCAACATGCTTGGGTATCCATTGTGCCTGCCATTTATCAGCTGTATGGAGGTGAGGATATGTATTGCCAAATGATGGGGGGTGTCCCCATTCCAGTTAATGATGTCTGGGCTTATGTTGATGACATAATGTGAAGAGGAAGTGATGAGTGCCCCCACATGTTCACCCAATTTAGCTCCACTTCTTTTTGTGGCAACATTTGAAGGATACAGTGTACCGTATAAAACCAGCAACACTCCATGAACTAAAGCACCAAATTGAACAGTCATGCACATCCATTGTAGTAGATACTATGCTGAATGTTTGTCACTTTACTGTTTGCCATTGTCTGTAGTGCCTTCAAATTAATAGTGATCATTTTGAACATCTTTCCATTTGATGACAATAAACAGTGAACCAATGCAGCTAGGGAGGTGAAATTATGTGTGGAAATAGGTCATTACGGGTACTTAAACATTCAAATAATCTGGTACGTTAAGAATTACAAACATGATCCTGGTGCAAAACTTTGAATTATTAATTTATATATCTTGATAGCCATACCATATGGATTGAAACATTTGAATTAAAGTGGGCATCATAAGCTATTTTCAGAACTTGTTGTCTCTACAAATTATTTCTACTTACATGGATTAATTGCTGCATAGAAAATTCTTTACTAACATGTCATTTGGTCCAGTATTCAAGAACAAGACTTCCTTGGAAAAACATAAGGCTGCTATGCTTATTTTGATACTACAGATGGCAAATAATTTTGCCTTTAAAAATCTTAAGTATGAAGGAAAGGTATTATGGGGATCTGAAAGGTTGAGTGCAAGAAAGGTATCAGACAAAATATTAGATGTACGTAATAAAGGATTGGCTAATTCCTCTATTTCTTCATGAATAATGATTTACTTCATGTTTTATTATCATATATTTCTGACCCTATAATGCCTATTCTTATTTGAAGGTTTCTAGGGACAGTAGATAAACTTGGAACAGCATATGTAGACCACCACATCGCTACAGGCTATGGGGCATATATGGCATTACCACTCATGAGGGAAGCAGTGGAGAAGAATCCCAACATGACGCAGAAGGAAGCTCAGAAGTTACTTATCAAGTGCCTTCAAGTTCTGTACTACCGTGATGCTCGTTCATATCCCAAGGTAAAGTCCTCTTTTGACTGTTCTGTGGTATCATTAACATTTCTTCTTCATAATACATTTCCACTGATGGTGGCTTTTTTCTGCCTTCCTAAAATCTCTACTTTTTAACTTCTCTTCCTGACCTTCATCTTTCTGTGCCTGTTGGTTGTGTTCGTCATATAGTCTGAGTTGCAGACGTTTAACTATAAAGAAATTGATTATTTAAAAACAACTCCATGGAGGACATTGCTTGAGAAGGTAATATATTTATTTACAGTTTATTTAATGATGCTTGTCAGGCTCAGACTATATAGTGCTGAATGAGAATGAATTGGAAAGAAAGTGGAAGGAAGCACCAGCTTCCTCACTAGTGTCTAGTAGCACTTCATTGTTTTTGTGGCATGTATGATTTTGTCCAGGAAGTAAATCAGAATGTGCACTACACAGCTACAATCCCTCCTAATTTTTATGAGAATGTTTTTTGTTGAAATGTGACTGTAATTTATTAATCTGATCATTTCTGCTAACAAACAAATTTCGGTTAAAGGGTGTGAAGAATTTTGATTAGTGACAGTTGTATAGTAGCTTTACTTCCTTTTAGAAATTGTATGTTTTGATGCTTACAGTAAATAATTTTATCTTGTTTTTCATTGATTCTTTATGTAGTTATCTTGTGTTAGTAGATAATGGTAGACTTTTATTGTTGTGCTTATGTACTGGTGATAACTGATATCATGCCCACATTTTAACCTCACAGATTGTCAATTTTGTAATATCAATTATCACTAATCATTAATACAGTAGTTTCAGGTGATTTTTAATTTTATTAGTAGCTGAGATTGTGTAACCAGCAACTTTTCTTGTACAGTTTCAAATTGCAACACTGACAAAAGAAGGTGTGACTGTGGAGGGTCCACTGACACTAGACCAAAACTGGGAAGTCGCCCACATGGTGAGGTGAGTACCACACCTGTCCTTTGTCACATGAATGCTCACTGAGACACCATACTGAAACTTTTCTCTCTTTGCAGGGATGGCGTATGAAGATGACCCAGATTATGAGCTGAGTTCAGTGTCTCATTCCAAGTATCATTGTATGCATCTTGAATAAAATAAAAGCCCTGTTGTTTCAACTATTCTTTGTCTAATTTGTTAATCATAAGCAAGCTTGGGCAGCAGGATGGTAAAAGGAAAACTGTATTTGTTTTATTTGATGAGGCATAAAAATGAACTCAGACTCCATTTGATTACTGTTAACTGCGTCTTTGACACAGTTCAGCAGCTTTAACTATTTCTTCAAAAGTCACTGTTTATTTTCAGTCTTTTATGTTGGGAAACTATCTACACTTCTCTCAAGGAACCACAATAAAACGTCTATGTGCCATGGTGACATAGTACCATGGATTTGTTGAGCCCTGCTTTAAGTTATGTACTAAGTTCATGGTAAAAAGACGGACAAAGTTCTAGTCTCATCCAGGTACAGTATTAACAAATGTATCTCATATTCCTGGGCATCCTAGAGCATATTATTATGATGGACTAAGATTATGTTTCTGTGGAACTGCTGCCAATAAGGAGCAGCAGTGGAATAATACTGTTCGGAAAACCAAAGGATTTGGAGAAAAGCTGTCCCAGTGCCACTTTGTCTACCTGAAATGCCATATGAACTGCCCTGGGAGTGAATCCAGACTCTTGAGGTGAAAACTTTGCCTGTGCTATGGCACTTCATTGAGCATGTACTTCTGCACATTTCAGTATTGTATCGGTACTGAATTCTGAAAATTGAACATGCTAATATTTTGCTAGTGTAGGTTACACAAATGATATGTATACTGAAAGTGCAGTTAACAAAAACACTACAAATGATTTATATATATATATATATATATCTGTACATGTATGCAGATGACTAATTTTAGTACAGAAGTCGCCTGTGCCACTTGTTTTAATACTTTTCAAAGAATGGAAGCCCACATCTCTCCAAAAACTTTCCATTGCCTTTGAACTATACAGGAAACTTCTTGTTGGTAAACCCAACATTTGTAGAGAGTGACTTTCCAAGAGAGACTAACTTGCACTGATGTTGGTATGAAAAGAGAAACAATAAAGGAACTGCAGTGTGACCTCAACTCAGAACTCTTGCCTTTGGGGATGTACTTATGAAACATGAAGACAATAGGTTGTTACACATACAGATTCAGATCAAAACAGAACGAAAATGTCCAATCAAATAAAACTGACTTGTCACAAGTAAAAAAGCAGTTTCTTAATGATTCAATAAATCAGGCAGTGAATATAGGAACAGTAGAAGGAAACAAAAAGGTAGTCATCATTGACTCCATAATTTATTTGTAATAGTACTCATTAACAATTTAACTTACCCCTCCAAAAAAATTGCACAACTTAATATGTACAGTAAATATTTATACAGCCTAACTACAGATTATAACAACTTGTTGGCAGGAGTGTTGAACATTATCAACACTTGGAAAGCTGTGTCATGGCAAAAGTCAGTTGAATGAACATGTATGAACAGGACATTCTGTTTATGAATACTGCTAAAAATGACTTGGATGGCTAGTAGGGTGCACATGACATTAAGCATGAGACTAAAGCAGTATGTATAGTACAATTCATGGCAAGGAGAAAGCATATCTCAGTATCTGACTGAAGTAATATAAATAAACCATCAACAACCTGACCAAATGCACCCTCTTGCTCTTGCAAAGATTTATCATGTGCTGTTTCAGCTACCAATGGCTTTCCTCTCAAGATACATACATAGTACAGCAGAAAATCTTTTACAAAAACAGAGAGAGGATTTGCCCTGGGGTAACTAGCATCAGCGAGATTTCTTCAGCAGTCTGTCCAACAAAGTGCTAGTGATGCATGCTGTCAGATTCCTAGATGTTTCAGGCACAACACTGGTGCATAAACACACCCTGAATGACAGAAAAGTAGATTCCATGCCTCTGCTACTTTGTTTGTCTTCAAAATTTTCTAAATTTATGAATATGTTACAAGTTATAGCAGTTTTAAAAATTGTATACATTGTTAAATAAAATGGCAGCTGTTAATGATCAAGGTCAACAAGTAAAATATCAAGTTCCAGTAGCATTAAGAAATTCTAATGGAAGGAAATGGTCCTAAAGCTTGTCCCTCTGTGTTTTACTATTGGGAACAGATGTTTGGAAACAACAAAATAATTAATTTGTATAAGCAATGGTTAAATGTGTGAAAATATATAACTTAGGAGATGCAATGATTTGAGCCCCATGGGCCTGCATATGCACCCTGCCAGCAAGAAAATTTCTACATTTTTATGCAACTTAAATTAGATTAACAATGAGGCACTGACAACTGTTCACTCTTTGAACAGATACACATACAGAAGGCAAGACCAACCAGTCAGGTGTGAGAACTGTATCACAACCAACTGCTGCTTATAACTATAATTTGCTATACTCTTTAGTCAAAAAACTTTCATGGCCCACCATTTGCTTTGTATTAAGTGATTACGGTTTTGATATATCAATGCTGTTGACAATGTAAGAACAGTTTAGCATGACTATTTGTGAACAGCACTGACATCCTTACAAAATACGATCAAGAACATTACATCACTCAATAATAAATTAAAGTGACAATTACAAATGCAATAATATGTCAACACTGTTAATGCACATTTCTGATCACAATTGATGTTTTAACCTTTGTGCCATATAAGCATGACTTACTGGCTCCTCAACCTTTCTACCATTACTTTTTCTTACTATACTCAATAAAAGGGACCACAGATATTGAACAGTTCCAAATACTGTGCAAACCACTGACTTCGAAGTTACTATTACTCAAGAATATAATACTGCTTTGTCCTTAGGTTTTTGTGGCTGGAGTTCAGCATAAAACTTCAACTTTCAGGAAGCAGATGCTACAATTGCTGAAAATTATCCAACATTTCAGCAAATATTGCAATTGCAATATTCAGGGTGAATATGATGGTTGGGCATTTTCTGGAAGCCTTATACAGGACAGGATGTACGCAGCAGGTGGGATGTAACATTTGACTTAGCAGGAAAGTGGGCTGCTATCCAATTAACCAATGACTCGAGAACATTTGATTGTGGAAGCAAAATATAAAAGTGACTATAAAGTGGGAAGTGATTTTATGTAAATACATGGGACAAATCAATTGGAAGAACAGGATTTTGTATATTTTATTCCTTATATTTATAGACGGGGTAGAAAGACAAATTATTCTAAACTGAATGGTAATAAGCATTCCCTAAATTGAATCTACTCTTAAATTTTTTATTGATGTAATTATGATTTACATTTTCCCAAATATTCAATTATGCATGTTTCCAAATTATTTATTACTTGTATTATATTATGATTTTGTCATGAATTATTGTGGTGAGATATGAACATATACTTAGTTTTGGCTGCATTTTCAACTAGATCAGTCTCCTTAAGAGTATGTTTCTTTAAGTATTTAGTTTTTACCTAATAAATGAACTCATTAGCATAGCCCACAAGCTGATGTGACCCATTCAATACAAAGCAGGAGAGGTATTCTTGTAACTGTTACATCTTGTCCTTTGTTGTGTAGTGAAGTGGGTTTTGCTTTTAACTACATGTTGGTCCTAGGTAAATTTATGACAGAACACAAATTATGACTACACATTAATAATAATGTAAAAGAAGATGATACAGACAGCAGTAGAGCAGTAATAAAGAGGGTGGAAATAATAAAAAGTAGCATCTTCTGGTGAATAAATTTGCAGGTCAAGAGTCATAGAAGATATTCTCTTTCAGTGTGTTGTGGGAAAAAAAAATTGTATATCATATTAATACCCGTAAATAAGTGTTAGGTTTTTACTTATGAAAGGGAAAATCAGTATACAGGCTTGTTTATGAAACGAGCACTGATTTAACAAGCCTTCAAAGTTACCAGAGACATCTGCCAACATTGTCTACTAAGTAGATTCTGTAATTATAAGACAATGTGGGCATACAGACTGGTGTTATCAAAAAGCAGTTGACTACAGTTTTGGAATGTATGTGCTGCATTAGAGTTCTACCTGGGGTAGTTTACCCTTTGTACAAAATATCAGGAAGCTGAACAAATTCACAAATGAATACCAATGAACAATGTTGAGAGATGTTCACTCACAGACCAATGCTGAACATACATGGGCAGGAACCCCTAACAATTACCTTTACAGGCATGTTGCATGTATAACTACATGGAAGGCAGGACACTTCCCTCCTGTCAAATGTAATGATTTCTCAGCAGAACACAAAACATCCAGTCATGCAGTGTATCAAAGCCACGAATATAACCACTAAGAACAATTAACAAGTACCTGAAAACCATAATTCATCAGTGTCTCATCTTGCACATATCAGTTCATTGGTGTATGTACAACTCAACAATAGTTTGAATTCTGTGTAATAATGCTCAGACAAGTTTTGTGCCAGTAAACTGCAGATTATCCATGCAAAAGGTTTCTTTTTGAATAAAGTGGAATTACAGCCACCAGGAAAACTTGTACTACTATGAAAAGTCTAAACAATTCCCAAAAACAAGCACCCATTAAAAACTGTTTCTCAAAATAAGCATGAGATATGTAAAAAAAAGTAATGTATGAAGTTTTTGAAGGCACCAAACAGAATATTTTGGATTATCTGTTTTTTGATAATTCATGTGCCTTCTTCCTATACATTTACCCAGACAATCAGGAGCTTCTGGTATGCAATCAAGCAAATACAACACTTTGAAAATGGGTCAGATAATGCTGTAAATGTCCTGCCTTCCCATTTAAAAAGAACTGAAGGGAAAATTTGTAATGTCACATACTTAAGAAACTTCGTGAACTTGGACAAAAGAACTCCTAAAACATGCACACTTGGCAAGCACTTAACCTACATGATCTATCTACATACTGTATGGACACATGCACATGGGTCTTTTGCTGTTATAGCAGATACGCAGATAGTTCTATGAGCACATATTTTAAATTACTAGATCAAATGTTGTTATTCATTTAAGAAACACTCATATAATCTTAACTTTTAACAGCAGACATGTCACTAGTATCTGCATATACTTCCAAAGTTATCAGAAGACTGTAATGTCCTGAAGAATGATGTTTGTCCATAAAGTGGGACTATGTATTAGCAAACCATTGTGTTCAAATAAGATTAACAGTTATTTCAGTATAATTATGCATTTCAACAGTTCTGTCTGAAGGAAAGCAAACAAAAAACTTTGTCACCTGTGAAGTGTTATTCTCTATGAGCGGTGCTTTAAAATTGTTGTGTGCTTTGACGTTTAGATCTATTTACAATTTACAACTACAGAAACCTGCAATAACCAAACTATTATTTACACAAGACTGTGAGATCATAATGGTGGGAGCACATCACACTCCTGTATGATCCCAACAACTAAGAGCATCATCACACATATCAGGATCGAAAGTGAAGTCAGGAACACACAGTCTAAACAGAGGAGATGCATACAGTCAAAATGTTCCTTTCTTCCCTCATAAAAAGTTACATATTTTGACTGAATTCATACAAACAGGTAAGCTGAGCACTTTCAGAGTTGTTTACTTATCACCTAATAAATAGGAGCCAACTCTCTTCGATGAAGGGTTGAAATTAAAACTGTACATGGAGAAAATTAAAAGAAACAAGATAATTATAATCACTTCCCACTTTTGTTAATCTACCTCGTCAAGTGGAAGCCAGGCATTATCAGCTTCACACTGTAGTCCATTGATGGCCTCATGGTACAATATGGATTCATCTTGCCCACTGGATTTTCAGAACTTTCTCAAACTCTATATAAAAAAGCAGGACTATTCTGTTAGACAGGGGTGAGTGGTCAGCATCACGCCCCAGCCATAGGAAAGAACCCTCGTACCCAGTGAACAGGAGACTGGGTGGGCCCCAGATCCAGTCTGGATGAACATGCTAGAGGAAAAATCCTCTGCCCCCATTGGGGATTGAACACCAGTCATCCAGCTCATAGTCAGTCACTATAATAACTGAAATACCCCGGCCCCACAATCAAAATTTACAAATGCTCGAATAATGTACATTTAGTAACAAAAGTTTGAGATCAGATACGTAGCCAAAAATTGTCAAAGGTATAGAGTAGGTGGGCATTTTCTTTTAACCAATGATTAGAGAATATTTTATTGTTACAGCCAAATATAAAGATGATTATAATGTGGGAAGTGATTGTATATAAAGACATGGGACAAGTTAATTGGAAGCACAAAGCATTCTGGAAGAATGTGACACATGCTACACATATGTATGCTCCTTTTACTATCACAATGTGTTGGTACACTTCAAAGTAAAGCTGTGGTTTAAAAGTGCACACGTATGTCCCTCCGGTGGCAGGCTAGATGGGCTGATGCAGCACACCCATTGCAAATTTGTTAGAGAAACAAGCAGCCATTCAGTTCATACTTTGCATCAGTGTTTCTGTAAAAGTTCCTCACAGAAAAAGAATGTGATCATCAGTCAGTAGCTGAGTAGAATATGTATCAGGGTTATATTACTGCAGCATAAATTCCCCCAACAACTTCATCATATGTTGTGTTGTCCCTGACAAAAGGTTTCTCTGCCCAAAAGAGAACAATGAAACATATCACATATCCATGAAAATCACTGGCTTAATTCACAATGACATTGGATTCATGCAATGTTTCTTCCATCAATCCTCCAAAAACAAATCACTTCATTTTCCTGTACAAAGGTTTAAAAACTAAACATGGTTAATACAGTGATTTCATAGTGAAATATACTAACTGACTGAAATTTTATAGTGTACATATATCTGCTCACTTCCATATGATAAACTTTTGATGTTGCACGGTCTGACAGTTTATGCAGGCTGACTGTTACGACACTGACACTTATTTCTAATACACTGAATTCATCTGAACACAAGACTTTTAAGCATCCACTTCTGAACTTTATATAGTCTTGTAAGTACTTTGTTACAAACAATTAGTAAGGCTCAATTCTAACCTCTGGAAATCTGTGTAAATTAGAAAGGCATATCTGCCAGTATCATTACAACTAATCACATTTTTTAAAAGAGCAGATTCAACACAAAAACCAATGAATGCAAATTAAACACAACATATGATACAACCTCAAATCATCCATGAATATCACAAAGCTTCAGAAAACAAGTTATAAGATACAGTGGCAAATATGTTGCAAAGGTAAAGAAATTAATAAACAAAAATTCCACCCAAACATCTACAACTGCTTACACACTAATTCTACAGCTACAGTTCATATCAGTTCTCAAAGAGAGCAAGGGGTTGATTCACTGTCAGAAAATCAAGTACTTCAATTATATGAAGGTTATTCAAAAAGTGAGGGTAATAATGAAATATTACTGTATGATTGGCAACACTGCTGAGGCCAGGTCATGCTGCAGCACAAGGTCAGACAGTAACATGCTGTAAGTGTGGTTCAGTTGTCCATTTGTGCCAAGTGAGTATGGCGTAAAGATGACTACTCCACCAGAGGTTTTCACCAAGGAACCTGCAGCAGTATATTTTTTGGTGTCTGAAGGAATGAAAGGGGCAGAAAGTCACTGACAACTGGCTGCCAAGTATGGACAGAACTCTCTGCCACAGTGAAGTGTGTATGAGTGGAGAAAAATGTTTGAAACAGTGCTACTGATGCAAACATGTATGAATGCCCATCCACAAACACAAATGAGCAAAAACATGGAGTATGCTCATACAATGATTCTTGGCAAATGTAGGGTAACTACTGCAGAAATTACTGCAAGACTGGACCTTAATGTCAAATGTTTATTTGTGCAAATCTCTAATGTAGCAACCATCCTTTCGCTACACTCATTCAGCAGAAGTGGATTACACCTGAACCACACTCACAGCATGTCACTGTCTGACCTTGAGCTACAGGCTGTAACATACTGCAGAAAACAATGACAGTAGATTCCTATACCAATTAACAACATTTTTTATTAAAAATATCCTAAATATGGAATGCAATGTGTAGTTTTATTTATATAATTTCTCATTAATTGTGTAATCACATCCACCACATGTCAAGCAGCACTGTTCAATGTTTCATATTTTAATTATTATATTATAACAGATACACACAAACAATTCTCATATCCATTAACTAGAGCTGATATGACTTTCAGTATAGTAGAGCACAGCAGAAACTAACCTTAACAGTGCATACTTGTAAAAAGCAGTATCCAATTCAGAGAAGATTAAACAGAAAATAACTCAAAAGGATAATTTCAGGAGCATATGAGGACTACTCACTTGTCGTGGAGCTAATCACAAAACCACTGTCAAATAATTAAATCTGGCTGCTATAGCATTTTGCTCTGAAATGGAAGAGTCAAGAGTGTCCTAAGGGGTGCAGTTGTTCCTCCTCTAATGTTGACAAGACAATCAGCATTGCTGCCAAAATAATGGAGGGAATGGCACTTAATAAACACGACGTACCTATAAATGATGTTCCTGAAGCTTTGTACTGCACATTAGTGTCCTGCATGTCAGCCACAACAATCACATATGTACATAACTAACAATGGGTCTTGTATGGTTACTGGTGCTAGCTCCACCCTGGGTCATAACCTTTCCAATTTGCATTTGGTGCCAGGTAAACACGACGCCCCTTATACAGGAAGCTTACAACACCTCGATAACCAGTGCGGGGGACTCCACTCTGCAACCCAAACACATTGTACAGTACAATGACAACAAGAAAACATGTTGATAAGAAAAAATTATAATGTTCTTCTCACACTGGAGAACTTGGGCCTGTAACCATTGATAATAGGTTAAGGAAACTGCAAGTATCTAGCAGTACCTCTACTTGCGAATCACTTTAATGTACTGTGACAGAATGTGTGATTTCCACTTTTGTATATTTTATACCGTCATGCTATGTGGTCTGTTACAGATGGACTACATGGCATAGATATGCTGCTGAAATTATTGTACAGTGGATGCAAACTAACTCTGAGCTTGGATGACTGTTACAAATACATATGTGGGAGGGAGGGGAAGACCATGAAGTGATACCACATATGGAGAGATAACCCAGTCCTTACCTGTATACTATTGGATGTAAAATTATTATGTTTAGGCTGCAGAAGTAGCACATGCAGGTAAAGTGTTTTAGTTGTTTTGGTTCACAAAATACAGTGTAGAGTGTATCAAAATGGCATGGTATGTGCTGAAAATGTTTCTAGTTACAGTATACCTGCTCAGACACTCTTTGAAATCGAGCTTTCCCCTTGCCCTTTAAGATAACTGAATTCCTATTACTTATCACTTATGACTTCAATGCCAACTCCAATGGGTACTGGGGTCCTATCCTGGGGGGTAAAGTGAGGTCAGGGAGTGATGCTAACCACTCACCCCCATCTGGTGCCAAGGTCAAGAATGAGTAGGATCTATAAATCCTCTCCCCTCAAAGACCTACATGATATGTAGCAGGACTATTTTTACTAAGATCTTCCTACTTTTTAACTACAGAAAAATAGGCATGATCTTAAGATTGCTGCCTTCTGGGTTCCAGCATCATGTAGATGTTTACAAACATTTCACAGGTATGTGCTGCCTCCATTATAAAGGTCATTGCCCTGATGGTTGAGGCATCAAATACCTCTGAAGCACTGGTAAACTTCTACCAGACCACATAGTGCTACAACCCAGAAGACAACCATCTTTATACCCGCCACCGTGAGAACCACAAATCCTACTTAGACAGATGATCTGCTCTGCCAATGGAGAGCACTTTAGTTAGATCTAATCTTAAGACTGAGAAAGTTCAAACACAAACTTTCATGTCCATTATAATTAGCAAAACAATGGGTTGTTATTGTCGAGAAGTTTTTCTTACTGTTTAACTAGGATGTAGTACTGAAACCTCATTGGAAGAGCTATAAATAAATGCACTGTACATATAATCCTCTATCAAACTCTACATCTCCACTTAAAGGACTACATTCACAATCTTGTATTAAACATTTTAATTGTAGACACAATTAATATGTTAGGATAGACTATATAACAGAGACAGCAGAAAAAACAAAGATATATTGGTTCCAGGAAGACAGAGAAATAGAAACATGATATTTGATATTAAACTGAATGGTAGTATGGAAACAATGGAAGAGAATTTTAAACTGATAATGTCTGTCTTCTGGCTCGCAGCACCATGTGGTCTGGTAGAAGTTTACTGTTTCAGAAGTCCCTGCTACCTCCATCATCAGTGACCCATAACCCTGATGATGGAGGCAGCAAGAACCTCTAAAACACTGGTAAACTTCTATCAGACTACACAGAAGACAGCCATCTTTGTACTCAATGCTGTGAGAACCTCAAATCCTCTTAATTTTGAACTGGTTACTACATGCCAGCACTCACCCTAAAGTCATCCATGAGACCAAGCATCTTGGCTGTCCTCTTGTAGATGTCATTTGTGTGGTAAGGAATGCGCACAGAACCTTGTGATACAATGGAGCCACTCTTCAACTCCTGGTATGACACCACCAAACTCTCATACACTTGCTTCACAAACTGGACGTCATAGTTATCCTGCACACAATCATTCACATTGTGTCCTTACTTTACCACGTCGATGTCAAGTCATTCTGACACAACTGTATCACACTGCTATACAGTTTTACATGCCATGCTATTGTATTTACTACATTTACAACTTAAGACAACCTTGTTACTACGAACCATCTTCCAGATGAGGAAATAAAAAAGGAAAATTATAGAAAATATTTTCTTCAGCAAGAAAGTATTATGTTGAACATTTGGACCACTTTTTTTAGTTGCACAGTTAAAACATGTGCATAGTTCACTATCATGTCTAAACATTTCATGTCATTTTTTTCTAAATACTCTGGACAACTTACACATTACTTCATATCCACATAAACACTATAAAAATTTGATAATACAACACCATTTGTCTCATATCTTCTGACAACCTGACTTAATTTCCATAAATAGACAATTCTATGGTAAGTAAAGTGTTATTTTGACAATAAAATATACCAGTGAATTAGAAAATATTCATAATGCTCATCTTATAATCTTTATTTTGTGCTTTGTAATAATATTTCTGAAGTTATATTTCTAGGAATTACAGGATAACTTAACCCTACTCAGGATACTGAAGCAAAGTAGCCCCACAGTATTTCTCTGGAGTCTTTCTACATTCTGATCTCCTGGAACATTTCTATGATTTTAAATATGGGTTGCATTTACAGGCAGCAATTGGGAGCTTGTCTATACACAACTATATACTAGAAAAGCCCCAGGAGAGTTTGGATGCTATTACAAATGGTACATTTTCCCATCACAAACCTGCAGACCACTTCAACATCCCTTATCAAACAATCTTCAATTAATTAAAAAGTAACACACTTAAACACCAAGAAAGCAACCAATATTTTGAAGAACAGACCTTTGTATCCTATGTCCAAGTTTTCAGTGGTTTTGATTTCCCTCTAACTGCATATAATTTATGTCCCATTATTAAATCTTACCTAGATCAATTAGGTGGTGCACTGAAATGCTTTCCAAACGCATTCCTTGCTAAGATGGGCCGGGTCTATTTTAGAGCATCAACCTTAACTGAATGAAAAATTTGCAGCCAATACCAAACAAATCAGAGCAGCCACTGATAAAATACTGTGCAAATTACATTAGCGATTTAGAGGAAATCAAGACGTGCCACCAGGAAACATAATTTAGATGGCATGAACGCAACTAACAACCCAGGTAATAAGGAAGTGTACTATCATCATGGTACAAAATACCCATAGGCAGTGGTGTAAATACCTCCAAAGAGTAAACTTTTAATATTTCTGTCTATTCTGGATGGTACACTTTTATAATCCTTTTAACATTTATAGAGTAACAGTTACAAACATGATTCATTCATACATCTTTACTTCTACACATACTGACTTACGTCAGCTACTATGCTTACCTTCAAAAGGTAGGATAAGTTCTTCTGAGTAAAAGGCACAAACTTTTCATTAAGTTTTATATACTTGAGATGTTTCTCGTAGAAGTGGCCACTGCAAAAAATTAATTAATCACATGTGTGATGGACTGAATGATACAACCAGTAAAACTGAAAGGAAAAATTTAAAAAATCTTAGTGATTATGTATCTGAGGAAACGTGACATTGTAACCAGCCTCCTCTGAAACAGATGCTACAAGTATCATGACATAACAATGTTCCTTCATTATTGTCCGTTGCTGAAATAGAGATTACAGGATCCATTCCAAGAACTAACTTTAAAATGATAAATACTTTAGGGAAAACAATGGAACAGTACAGTACATCATCTATCTACAATCTTCATGACAAGCTAAATTCAAACAGAAGAAAAATATTATACAAGTCTTGATCAAAAAACCTGGTAAATGAATGATGTCACCATAACAGGAAGAACTAACGGAATTTCTACTAGATACCACCCTCGGTTGCACTGCAAGGCTGATATGTATGAGCAGGTGTGCGTTGCATTTAACTGGACTGTCATTTGATTCAACTCAAGTAAAGTTGACCTAAGATTTGAACATGTCACATATGCATGTTTTCTTGGACCAATCAAACAACACACAAATCACAAATACTTTGTCACATGTACGTTTCTAGAATGTTACAATCACAACTTACTTGCTGACTCCTATCTTGCCAAATGTTCTTGTCCTGGATATCTCAGGTCGAATGCAGGCTCGGTTACGTCTCTGTTCAGGCTGTCTAACCCAGTCATCCCAGTAGCTGCTCAAAACAAGTCACATTATGAAGCTACAGCTTTTACCACCGCCCAGACAGCGGAAAAAAGAAAGGGAACTGCAACTTGCAGTATAGGAATAAATATCAAACAATTAATGATGCCAACACACAGAAGCATTTATCTATCAAGCTCCAGTACAATCCAATTTATTTAACCACCATCTACATTGCTATCCTCCCACCTCATATTCCATATAACTAATTTTCAAAATATTTCCTAAATTTTTTATGGATATCTTCTTAACTACGTCAGCCTACAAAAGTGTGGCAAATTACATGTACATGGAAGATTATGACAAAAATGATAATGAAATTAACAACAGAATAAACAACAAAAATGCATGCAATCATTTAGTGCACAAACTGTTTTGTATGTATATGAATCATGGTCTCTTACTTCAAGAACATGAATTCCAAGTGTCTGAAAATAAAGTGCTTACAAAAATATTTGGATACATGAAAGATAAAGTAAGTGAACAATTCAAGATATTGCATGAGGAATTTTGTGATTTATGTCATCTAGATTGTCAGTATAACGATATCTGTGTCTTAAACGGGTTGTACAAGTGACTATAATAGGGGAGCTGAGGAATGCATATACAACTTGGTGGGGAAACTAGATGAAGATTAAGAAGTAGATCGGAGGATGTGAGGAACTGTGGGACACCTGGTTATACTGTCTGAATGTGACTTTGCCATGGAGCACAGATCCCAGAACAGGCATTGACAGTATTGCATTGCCCTTTGAATGTTCCCATTTCACTTGGTTGAATTTATTTTGTTCCCAAGCATTTACATATAAGCCACTTTCTAAAAAGATGGCAACATTCAGTGACAGAACTACTAGTATCCTAACTTAAATTCCCCAAACACAGTTGGTATATAATATATTTCACAGAATGTCCCTGAAGCAGTAAAAAGAAACCTGATATAGTTCATCACATTCAGCTAAAATGTTTAGTTTTCAGGAAAATGCTATGAAAATACGGAAAACTCACGAGGAGGGCCACTTTGGGGCCAGTTCGGCCCAGATCGACTTTGTGAGCATCCATCCAAGCCCTGGAAAGAAGTCAGTGCGGTAAAGAAGATCAGGAGCATTTTCATCCACTAGGCCGACCTTTCCATTGTCATTCCATGCAGACACACACCACAATGTGGGGTCTCGCTTTAAGATGGGGTATGTTCCCAAGAAATACTCAAAGAAGTCTGGTGCAATATCGAGATCATCTGAAATCAAATCAAAGTCTTCTGTGCAGCATTACCCATAAAATATGACTTTCATGTAACAAGAACTTAAAGTCACAGTAAACATGGTACGCCACACATCTGTGACGTTCAGCCTTGATCGGATACAGGGATGTGAAGTGCACACACTAGATCCAGAAACTTTCAAACTCAAAAATGGAAGTCCACCACATCATCCCAAAATACTAGATTACCTGAATGCAATAGCTATTATAAAGCTTTCTAGTTTCTCCAAAATCTTGAAAATTTTTAATGACAAACTTTTTCCTTGTAGCTCAGTTTTCTGTTTCTTTAGTACATTCAATCAAAACATTGTGAAATAATAACTGTAATAAATGTGGGTTAAGTAGTACAGCAACTAAAAAAATAATGTACACAATTTACTGTGAAATAACAATTTGTAACATAATTAAAATGTGCCACAAATGTCTGCAAAAAAAGGTCAAATTTACATATTACCATAAAATAAATATGCAACATATATTGAGATAAATGCATATCTCTGTCACTTCACAAAATAGTTGTAAGTCAGCAGCACTGAAGCACTATAAAATCTTAAATATTCCATCAAAATACCATTTAATAATGAATAGAACTTTTACAGGAACCTGTAGATAAAGATTACCTTAAATATCCCTAAAAAGGCTTACACTGTGTATATTTGGAATGAGACACCATTTTCTGACAAATCGATGTTATGTATTCTAAAACAAATGCAAAAAAACTAATGCCACTTCATTGTAAATTATGTAATTCTTATTAGATTACCTACTGTTCTGAGTTATCTATTCTACTGCAAGATGGAGTGGTTGATCCCCATGCTTTGTCTAACATGACTGTAGCCATCGCCTCTTACCTTCAACAATTATGGCAGTTTCAAAATTGAATTTGAAGAATGTATAGTTGAGAGCCCAACCATAGTGCCGTGCAATCTTGAAGTAGCCTTTGAACTTCTTCTCCTTTGGTGGCACTGTAATATCACTCTGGTCTGGTTGCTACATTAACAAAGACATAAAGTACTGAAAATCATATGAAACTTCTGTTGCATTGCTGTTCATATCTATGCACCACTGACCACATGGAGTGTTGCTGAACTAAAGAACCGTTCGTAAATGAATGAAGACTTTTAAATTTTTCCATTTTCTACAGAAGTGCCACAGAACTAATATTGGTACTTTTAGGTATCACGTTCAGTCTCATACAAACATTAAATTTAATAGAATTTTTATTCCTTTTATAAAATTAGTGGTGACACATCAGTCAGAATCTGGGACTGTCTGAACATTAGACCACCCAACTAACAGACTCCATCCATCAATCCATTATACATGGATTTTTTCATCCATGTGTGTTCTGCGACATGCATATGATAAGGTACCCTTTAAGAGGCCAGTGAAGTATAAAAGCAGTTGTCCTATAAAGGGTTAGAATGTTGTGTAATGTCAAGCAATTTATGACTTAAATTCGTTATGGTCTAATGGTCAGGGCACTATCGTAGCATTCAGAAGATCCTGGGTTTTATTCTAACTATCCCCACTAATCTTAAAACAATTTTAGAAATTTGTCAGTATGACAAAAAATCCCCTAAAGGATGTCCAAAAATGCCACACATATTAAACACACCTCAGATATTGGGCACATCACACGTAACATTAATATAATGAATCAAATACTGGCACATACCTTTAGAGAAACATAATTTATATGCGATTTGTGGTTTTCAGGCAGTGAAGAGTTTTGATTACCTTCTGGGACATTATGCAATGTAACCTTGTAGGTAATTATCAATGTCTTGAAAAAATTTATTGTCACCATCTTCAGAGAAGACGAGATTTTTGTTCTGCAATGTGAATACCAAAGCTTTGGAGGAATCCTCAAGATGGAAGACAAGTTCCTCAAAAATCACATCATCTACAAGACCAAACAGCATCACAATCCAGAAGCTCATGAGCCACATAATTTATGCTCCAGCCTCAAACAAATTTCCATAAGGCTCTACTTGAAACCTACACTATGAACAAAAATTTCCTGTGGTGCTGCAGTGTTACCAACATTCAGTGCATATAGTAATGTTTCATAAAAATAAATTTAAATTGTTCTCATAAGTTGTAGTATAACAGTTAGAGAGTTTCAGAGATTGGAAAATAAATAGCATTATGAAATGTCATTACGTTCTTACATTTATTTTTATAAAGAACACATTTTTGTACACACGCACACACGCAGACATACACACACAAATACTCAAAAACTTCCATTTCCTTACATGAAGTGGACATCAAGCTGAAAACTCAAAAATGACAGGCACAAAACCGTAAGTCATGATGTATGAGGTCACCTCAATGCGAGTGATCTCGTCACCATACAACTCGATGACATCCGCTGTGGGGCGGTGGCCACAGTCTTGACTCACAATGATGGGGAACCGTTCACGTGAGGGTCGATATTTGAGAAGCTGATCTATACACTTGCTGACGGTGATCCGATTGCACGCAAACACCAATACAGCAATCACAGGCCCTCCATCAGGCAGGATTTGCTTGGCTAGTAACCGCACCTGGTTTATCTACGCAGCATAACATGGTCACATAAGTTAAGTACTTTCAAATCAATTCACAGAAGGTTACCATCTCCTTCTTCACAACAGAATAACTTACCTGCTCATCCTCTTCTTCTTCCTGCTGCCTACCCAGCTGCTCCTCCTCACCCACACCTCTGTCTTCACTGGCCTTCACAGACAGCTCTGGATTACCAAACAACAACGTCTACTATAATGTCTACACAAGTACAGCTTCAATATCAAGAATAATAACATCCTTCACGGAAAATTAATAAATAATCAGCAAGCATCCATCCTAATTTCTGACTCTTATATTGAACTACATGATAATAAAACTACCATCTCTTCTGTACATCATGAGATCTATATCAACTCCTTCCCACATCAGCTCCTATTTCAGACTCATTCCTCTACCTAACTCTAGTTTCCCATGCTAACACAGAAAAATTCACTGTTAAACCCTCCTCTTACAACTTCACTAGCACTAACACCATCTACAATCACATTATCAGCACCACTGTGTACCAGTCCCAGCACAGCAAATCTAGAGAAAAAATCCTCTTCAATCAATAGCCAAAATCAGCAAAAATTCCCAGACTCTTAATCATCTCATTCCTACATTCCTACACACAACCAATCAAGCCAATTTTCTTCTAATATCTTCAGAGTCTGGCAAGGCAGGAAAAGCTCAGATTGTGAGAACTCATCTCCAAACACTTGGTAGGTAAAACATCTCCTGTATAGATGTTAAAGTCATCTCTTGGTTCTACATGATACATCTGATGAATGATACAATTCTGGGAATAGTTATATATTTTAATCACAAGATTATCAAAGTTCTTGGACTTCCTGCAAGACACTTTCGGTCCACGTGTGATTTCCAACCCATATCCTGCTTGCCACGTATGTGGACAGAAGTGGCCACCCAATAGTCCGGACATAAACCCCTGCGAATTTATCCTTTGGGGTTACCTTAAGGAAAAACTGTTTCCAAAAAAACCGGCCTCAATCATGCAACTCAGGGCTTTGATTGTTCAAATGTGTCGTGAAATTTCGGAGGATAGGTGCCATCGAGTAATCACGAACGTAGCCGTTCGTGTTTCGGAAGTTGCACGACAGAACGGTGGTCATATTGAGCATGTAATCCATAAAGGATAAACCTCCATGAATTGTTCTTTGTGTTCATAGATATATATGTCCCATTATATGAATATTAAAGCCTTTATTTAAACTTACAGTCGGGTATCATTTCGTGCGCCACCCTGTATCATAACTCATTAATAACCCAAAGACTTATCACAAGTAACTGAAATATCGCACCTCATGATCAAACAACTTAATTCAGAGGCACTCAATTATAGCTAATGAAAGGAGCTCAAACAATGACACAATGACTGGAAAGCACAATGAAAATCATCACATTTTGTACCACAAATATATAAAACCTGAAGTGGAGAGGGAGATTTGGGCAAACACTGAAGAAAATATTAAAATGTATCTTGAAGAAACTGAGTGTGAGGATGTGGACTGTACACATCCAGCGCAGGATATGATCCTCTAGCACTCTTGCAATCTGGTAACAAACCTGTGGAGTCCATAAAAGATGAGTAGTTTTATACCACCTGACTGTCTGTGTTTCTCAAAATGGACTGTTCTGTAGAGTTTGTACAAGAGAAAGCATGACAGTCACATACAAATCAGGATAAAAGTAAAAGTAAAGCTGTCCCACTATGCACCATGTAGGCACTTGGGGGGAGAGGTGGTATAGCTCCTACTCATTCTTGACCTCAGCACTAGATAGGGGTGAGTGGTCAGCATCATGCCCCAGCCTCGCTTTACCCCCCGGAAATGACCCCGGTACCCATTGGATAGGAGGCTGGGTGGGCCCCAGAGCCGGTCTGGACGCAGAGTCTACAGGAACATACAAATCAGGATAGTTGACTAAATGGCTATGCCAGAATCACTCACGCTGCTCCTTGACAATGCTCTTAAGGTCCTGCAGTAGTTTCTCACCATCTAGAAACTGTTCTTTCAGTTTTGACTCCAGCAGGTTCAGGTGTTCCTCTATCTGGTTCTGTTTCTGAAACATCAATATAAACATAACACAACAGGGTAATATGGTCAATTTGCTGTGAACACTGTGAAACATAATACAAGCTAACCCCCAACTATGCCATAATTATTCACACAGATAATGTCGCTGCATAATTTGCACACATTAATCTGCTATACATGTCCATATGTTTATTCTTTTATATAATTTATGCAGACATGACATCATACAGAAATTGGTACATACCGAAGAATATAAATTTCATTAAGAACTACAACTTTTGTTTGAAATGTTTTTCAATGTTATGAATATTAATTAATTATAAGGAAAAATAACTTCAGACTCTGTGCCATGTGGTATCTGTAGTCTGATTATCTTTACAACAATGGGTTTGTATCTGGTTTAATAGATTTTCAACCTTCAAGGTGAATGATATATGCAACACTGCAAAGAGCATGATGAAGATTATCATCATGAAGAGTGCCAGATGAAAAGCAGGACAAAGTGGTCACGATCTGTTAAGGTGCTGTCACAGCATATTGAAGAAGGAACTGCAGAAAACCATGAAAAGCCCTGAGATAATAAATATTCTTTGGCTGATAAGCAGGAATTTTATCTTATCACCCATAACAACTTTATGTGAAACATTAAGCATGCATTTAGTTAATGTAAGAAATATAGCAACATATTTCATCCATATGTGGCTATCTTCAGGCTACACCCAAACCTTAAATAGAAATTTTCTAAACTGTTTGCTACATATCTTATTTGTGTTACATCAATATACAAAGTTGATATAACACACATAATTTTGTAGTAGTACTGTATTGTTACAGTATATTGAGGCATTTACACTTATGTCAGTGTGGACAGCTGATTTTCTACTACTTCTACGTTCTACTTTTTTCTTAAAATCCATTCAACACGCATGTGACATTTGTAACAATATTACTCCAAGAACTTAATACTTATATAACATTATTGCTGCATCCAAATTACTTGGGATATACTGTGATTAAAAATTTAGTATCCAAAGTTTAATAATTTTTTAAAAATTCTTTTATAGTATGCAACATAGTAAAACAGGTCAGATAGTTTCTAATAAAGGTTTGGTTGTAGCCTGAAGATGCTCTTATATGGTTGAAACATGTTGCTATACTGCTTACATTAACTGTTTTAAATAAATGCATTGTTAATGTTTTGCATAAGGTTACTGTGGGTGACAGAAAAGATTCCTACCTAGTTCACAAACCTCAAGAGGATGCTTACCTGCAAACTAATGTTATCATGCAGCTGAGGAGTATCTCTCACCTGATCAGGTTTATGATTGAGTGGTCGGTCCAGAAAGAGGTAGTATGTCACAACAACCCACAAGCAAACACACACAAAAGTGACGCCAATGAATTGATTCTTACGCATGGCAATCCACCGATCACATCATCTGCAAAACAAATAAGCAACAAGTGGCATGAGTCCAAATCAAACATACTGACTGTAAATATTCCCAAAATGAGCCAATATTCTAAGCCTAGAATTCAACTCAGAAAGCAATTCATCATACAGTGCTACAGTATGCATAGCTGAAAGTTATTGTTCCCATGTGACAGAAAACAAAAGTTCCATTTCCAGTCTGACTCAATTACTAGGAATGAACACCAGTTTACCAGCGGTTTAAAGTACATGTTTTCTGGACAGAACTCAGCACATTCCAGGCATGAAACTCTCATGGAGTTCATAATTTATGACACAACTCCCTTTTTATTAAATTTACCACTATTTGGTTCAAACGCACAATCTCCAAATATTTCATTCTGAATGTTATTAAATACTTGAGATAACAGTTCCCAATAAGATATACCTAATTATGGCTATCACTGTTATGGCTGCTACATTTGCAAACACAAGATTATTGTTGTTTTATTTTCCTACACACAACTCTGGCAATGCAACTAGTAATGAGTCTGTATCATTACATTACATTAATTCTACCATATAAAACTGACACTCACAGCAGCAAATGGAGCATTCTTCTTCATTTCTGGTGCATACTTGAATTCAGCCATCTTTTATGCTTGCAGAAAATGTTTACACTGGTTTCATGTTCTACTAGGCTAGGTTGTACTTGTTTTGCTGATTAAACTGTCTCCTCTTACAGAGAAAGTGATAAATCCACAATCAATCAAAAGCAAACTACTTCATAAAATCCATTCTCAACTTACTGCAATTCATAACAAGAAGTACAAATTTCAGTGTAACATGCAACTGTCTATAAATTTAGGAATTAAATGTAATAACCACATGGCAGGCTTCACATTCACAATTAAGCATTTATAAACCAGGGTAGCTCAGTCAGGAAAGTGTATGACTACAGACTGGGTGACCAAGGTTATATCTAAGCAGGAGCAAACGACTTATCTTCTAGCCTCTGCATCCAGACTGGCTCTTGGGCCCACCCAGCATCCTATCCAATGGGTACCGGGGTCCTTTCTTGGGGGTGAAGTGCGGCTGGAGTGTGATGCTGACTATTCACCTCCACCTAGTGCCGTGATCAAGAATGAGTAGGAACTATACTACAACAATGACTGCTCACCATCTAGTGCTAGGGTCAAGAATAAGGAGCTATACCTCCTCTCCCTCCATGTGTCTCCATGGCAAGCAGCAGGTCACCTTAACTTAACTTTATTTTACTTCACTTCACTTTTGCAACTTTTATTGGAAATATCACTGTTGTGGATACTTAAAATAGTGGGGAAGCTGCAGCTTATTAAGCCATTTTGGAACAGGCAGTCTGGTTAATACTGAATTGATTATTACATCAATGGTTTCTAAATCTTTTATTATGTGTCAAATTCCCATACCTTTATTACCTTCATTATTTTTAACATTTTTGAAATAAATTTACTTTACCTTTCAGATCCCTGTATCAATGATGACATTTAACATGACTTAACAGTTGTAGACTTAACAGCACCATTAATCATTTTCGGATATAAAATTAAAATGAAATCAACGTGATACAAATCCTTGTAGACTTATAATTCTACAATTACAGGATAAGAAGTGATGACAACAATGAAAATGTATTCTTTAAAAGCATTCATTGTAATGTTACATTACTCAAAAGTACTAAAGTCCATCAGCTGAAAACACAAATCTACAGTTTAAAAGCTAAGTTCTAATATCTATTTCAATATTATCCTACCATCTACGTTTTGTTCTCCACATGATCTTCGTCCACAAGATGTTGTTAACAGAATTTTGTGTGCTCACGTCAATCACACACAACACGTGCAAAGCCCATCTCACAGCCACTTTAATTAAATATACCTATAACATGCAAACAATGTAAGACTAAATAAAATACAAAAGTAAATACAACAAACAAAGGTTTTAGTACACTGTTACCACTTCCAGAAACTTTTTAAGAAAGCTATTTTAACAATGAAAGATATACAGCAGAAGTTCAGCAAGAGTTCCTTACTATGAAACCTGACAATGACCGAAGTGGTGATACAAGCACTAACAAACTAACTTCATGCAACATTAATCTCCTTAAAGCTAACAACTGCTTGGCTAGTCAACAAACTTCCCACCTTTTATGCAAACCACAAGGTTCATTGCTGTGTTCACAAGAGGCTACTACTCGTCCGTTCCTGAGCCAGATCAACCCAGTCCACACCCTGTCAAACTACTTCAAGATCAGTTTTAGTATTATCCTATCATTGATGCCTAGGTCTCTTTTCTTCAGGTCTTTCAAGCAAAATATTATACATTTCTCATCTTCCCCATGCATGCTACATGTCCCCACCCATCCCACCCTCCTTCATTATTTGATCATCCTCACAATACAGTACTTGGTGAAGAACATAAATTGTGAAGATCCTGATGAAGCAATTTTCCCCAAATTTAGTCTGATGTTAATTTCCTCATGAATTATTGTAATTCCAAAATATTGAATTCTGACACATTTTCAGGGGACTTCTTAGCTACATCTATATAATAATTTTGTAATGTAGCATGGTGATGAAACACAAGCAGATACTTAGTTTTCTGTGTTTACTTCTAGACTAACTTTCTAAATGATTTCTCACCAGTGGTTTGTATGTGGAGAATGAAAGCTCAATAAATGTATAATGAAATGTCACTGCTATCAACATCCATTCAGCTCACACACGATGCCGACAGACGTCAACTTAAAACACGCTACTTGCTCTCACGAAATTGTTAGTGTCTGTGGCTTGTATACCCGGCGACAAAATCACTTTCGTCGAGTTGGCACACATCTTCTGTACAAGTCACAATTAAAAAGTATCTGAAACTTAAATTCAAAAACACAAATCATATACAGACTAATAACTACTTTAAACCAAGAAATGGATACTTAACGATATGAAAAATAATGTAAGGTAATAAATTCGTTAGTATTTTGTAAAATAATTTTTATTACACGCCAACCGAGATACATTTGTACGCAACGACCTCACGTAGCATACTTACAGCAAACCCATGGATTATATAGCAAAAGGGCTTGTGTTTGGACCATGAAAGTAGAATTAAAAACAAAAATTACGGTTGGGTAACCTGAGTGGTTAGAAATGCAGTAATATTTAAAACTTTTATGATTATTTTAACGAGTGCTTCGACAATAAACATGCTTTACGCAAATAAATGTTTTAATAACATTCATTAGTTTTCTTCAGCATATGAAATCAATTGATCGATTAAATAATAAAATGAGAGTCCACGGCAAACATACTATTTGTGTGGTTATATGTCGCGGAAATTAACTGCCTAATCTGTGACCATGGATCGTAAATGTATTGATTCTCTGCAAGGTTCAAAGATCGATATTAAAGTTCAATCGATTTCGTACCTTTTACGATGGTGCCATCTGGTGGAGCATTTAGAAACTTAGATTTGTAAATTATATGAAAATAGAATATAATTCGTAATGAATTGTTCACTAAACTAGATCATGGAGGATGAGTATATTAGGTACACATTAATATGAATATATTTAAATTATTATGAAAATTACTCTATGTAATCACAATGTACACTTCATAGTGGCTCCGGTAGATGGAGTGAGCTTCATGCGTGCTGTGGTTGGTGTGTAGTTTACATAAAAATATCTCGCTGTATTATTATTATAATGTTTCTTTTGTGTTGCGTACGAAGAATTCCTAAATAGTTTTCCTTACACCCATTTAGATATTCCGTGTCATTCACCAAAATCGCCTAGTGATCGTGTTTGTTTAGTTCGGTGTTTTTCGCGGTTTATTGAGCTTGGGTCGCCATGTTTGTTGTTGGCGATGGAAAGAAGTTGTTCTCGGCAATTCCTTGTGAAGTGTAGGCGCTGAAAACATTGCTTCTTTGACCATTGTGATTAAGATTATTAAGGTATGTGAATATTATTGTACTCTTTATTATTAAATTATGCTAAATTCATTGTAATTATATGCATTTGCATTTAAAGTATGAGCTTCGGATGTCAGTTCATTTGGATCTAATACTGAAGTCGTGACCCGCTGAAGATTTAAACCATTAACAAACGTTCATGGATGTGATTGGCAGTAAGAATATAGAAAGACCGCCTTCATAGCAGATGATGAATGGAAGTAAAATCAGGTCATTTGTAGCGATTTGTATATATTATATAAACGGTCACATGCTCTAAAATACCACGTGCATTTGTGTCAGAATTTTTATGCGCCAGTGTTGTGTTTACATTACGCTAATTCTGGTCCAGTTCTCAGGTTGCATATCTTTGAGACAGTCGGTACTTTGCCGTAGTATACAATTTGTGTTATGTGTTTCATGTCCTTTAGCTGATGCATTAATTAAATTAAAGAATATTAAAAAGTTATCGCCCCACATATCCAATGCTGGCAAATAAAGAGAAGATTCAGACATTTTTGTTCGACCCAAGTCAGACTTCGCATGCATCTCCGTCTCGCAAGAACTTCCAAGGAAGGACAGTACTGATTGTTTAAAAGTTCACAGTGCTCTGCGTTGACCGTAATGCATTACAGGGCTCAAATCATGTTGCTAGCAACAAGTGAACGTTCTAATCATAGGATCTAATTTTTTGGATGTATTTTAAATGTCGAACAACTGCAACGTGACTGAGTTTTTGCAGTTGGCTTTGCTGTGAGAGTGACCGGCTGAGGTACAACGCATGTCTTAAAGTGTCAAACCAAGTATTGACTCTTTGACAGAGATTTATTAAAACGTACACATCCGTATTGACAGCATGTGAAGTTTGTAACAAGTACGAGGGAGTGTTAGGTGTTTTGATAGGTTTTTTAATGTATATTGCCGTACATAAAGTGTTCTTGCGTCTTTGAGGAATGAGGGTTAATGGACAGTTAATTTCAGTATGTAGAAGCTCTGGATATGCTCAGAATTAGTATGCCCTACTGTAGGAAGCCCAGACAAAGTAAGCTGCAGTTGTCTATTAGTCATTTCAGGCAGGCTGAAAGAAGTCAGCATCTATTTATTTAATGATGCTGTCAGTAACTTAGATTGTTTGGGGTCGATTGATGTGACGATCATGAATTGGATAGGATGTGAAAGGTAGTGGTCGTGTGCTTTCTCTCTGGTACTCTCCCAGTATTTGAGTAGAAGGGCTGAGGAAAACATTGGAAAGCCTCAGCCAGGGTAGCCGTTCTTCGGCCCGGGTTTGAACCAGCCATCTCTCGGATATGAAGCAGGAGTGTTCGCCACACCGCCGCCACGTGTGGCGGAAGTCATTATCGTTCTCTTTGCAGTCCTTCATATTAATGCCACATTTACCATTAAGACAACAGTAAATGCATTGCATATTTCTGCACACATGCATACCTGGTTTGAATTAACTTCCTAGCGAACTTTTTTGACAGTTTTTACTTGCGTAAGTCGGATCAGACTTGCATGTTGTCGGAATCCAAATTTCGTTTTGTTGCAGCAGCTTAAATGATGCAATGAACGGTTTTATTCCGTGCAACAATTTACACATACGTCAATGTGTATGTACGAGGTGATGGAATACAGCAAGCCCTGAATATTTATATTGCGGCATGGTTACTATGTGGCTTTCAGATCCTTAAATCCTTCAGCAGATATATTCGAGGTATGTTATGTTAAAACTTTACCACCAGCCAACCAACATATATTTCAACACATACCATACACTACACATTGCATTTATGATCAGTTTATAATACGAAGTCAAGGCTCTTTGAATCTATGATGTTCTGTAAACAATAAGTCACCAATGAACAACTGAATCCGTAAAGAAGAAAGAAAACAATGTTTAAAATGTATGTTCATATATTCTTGCAATACTTGTGGAAAATACATACATCAGATTGCAATCTGCCAAATTCTTAATTTTAAAAGAAGATAAGTAGGTAAGAGTCAATGAAGGGATACTAATGTTTTTCTACATTTCCTGCAGTCTGATAGTGATTTTAAAATATGATAAACCAACATTTGGGTATTATACAGAGAGATGGAGATTACATGGAGGTTGGCTTACTTGCGAAGACCCAGATCATCAGGAGAATTTAAGGAATGCTACATATTTCTGCAAACAAACAAATGCACTCACTTGTTAAGCACAAAGTTGGATGTGAACAGCATGAACAGGCTAAACTCATTGCCCTGGCACGTGTAACCACGACGAGCTATTTCAAACGCCAGTCGTCCAAGCCCTGCTCCTGGGACCAGCACTCGAATATCCTGAGGCGCACTGCAAAGGAATGGCAAACATTAATCCTTAAACCTGAAACGCACTGAAGTACTAAAATGTACTTGGCAGCATGCATAGTAATAATTTTAAAATTTAACAGTTAAGAAAGGAATACTTATCACAGTAACTGTTTTTCTCTCTCTCTCTCACACACACACACACAGAGTTTATAGAAATATCTCTCTGGCACTCTGATGAGTGTTTCTTCCTCTCTCAACTGTTCTTTTAATTATTTTTAACCTTTCGGCTTCAGATATCCCTATAACAAGTATATACCATGCCTAAAACAGACATTAGTTTGAAATGCTGGAACTGGTATTTCAATTATTGTGCACCAAACTGAAATCATGATTAAAAAAAGTCAAAAGACTAACTTTATGAAACACATAAATTTGTGCTTTGGGTGGGACTTTTGACACATACACTGGATTTGACGCATGTTGGTGGTTTGGTACCTTGAAGAGTCGAAGATTTAACACAGCCAAGATAATGGTTGATACTGATAATTATTGGGTAAGGGAGAAAGAGCTTCAATATTTATGGTTTCACAACCAGAATTTGTTATTAATATTATTTGTTCACTTTTCAGAATTTCATATATACATGTGGAAAACAAAAGCTGTTGTACAGGCTTAATGTAGTTGTCCTTCTGGCCCACTAGCAAATGCACCTGACTTGTGCCATTCCATAAATCTTTCCTTATATCCCCTCAAATATCCATCTGTCACATATTCTAATTTCCAAGTCCTTACGATTTAATTGAAATTCTGTATGAGAAAACGTTCTTAAACTTGGTGGAATATAACTGATATTAGTATTAGAATGACATTAGTATTATTTTATCTCACTTCAAGATTCACTACTATGGAGCAATGTGTAAAATAGAATAGAAAAATAAAATAAAATAAAGAAAAAAAATTGCACAGAGAAGAAGATAAAATCTACAGTAATGAGGCATCAGAAAGGAGGCAAAAACACAACACAACTAATAAAATGAAAACCAAACTAGAAAATGGAGACAAAACTGGCTACAAAACATGTAGTATGTATGTATGTGTGTGTGTGTGTGTGTATATATGTATAGTGGAGTCACGTGACGATGACGTCACACCCCGGGCTGTACGTATTGATTAATCTCAGTGGACCTAGGACTTCCGAATGTTGCGGGGGCGATCGCAAGATGTGCCGCTAATTATTGTGACTTTTATAAATTTCAGTCAATTAAATACAAGTATTGAAGCAAATCCTGCTGTTTGCAGGTAAGCATCAATCAGTGTGTTGAATGCCGACTCAGCTTCCATTGATTTTGTACATGAGTTTTCAATATGTTTTGTGCTGTGAGAATAACATTATGACTATTTTAGAAAAGCTATTTTGAATATATCACAATATTACCCATTGAATTTTGAGTTGGTTTGATGGAACAGTGCTCAACATAGTCATAATTGCTCGAAGTTCCATTGCTTAATATGTGTTACAGCACACGAAGCTGTTTACGTAATCGAAAATAACATCTTGATGCTTAATATTAACTTTTCGCGAATTCATATGTTGAACTATGATCCCTGTTTGTATATTCTTAATAGATCGTCTTGAAAAAATAGTCGACTTGCCGTTATTTAGCTTTATTATTGTTTTCTGTTGGCCATTGCCCCAATTTTTGTTGCCATACACGGTGTTTATCCCAAGAGATTATGTATTTACAGCACTTAATTTTGAATACGAACAGCGATACAAAATTCATTTGGCTAATAATTGCTGTTATACTTCGGAAGTAGATATAAACATATCTAGACCCACCTTTTGAAACATAATCCTGTCTGCAATTGTTGCCTGGCTAACAACAATGGAATTTATGTGCGACATTTAGTTTACTACTGCCATGAAACTAACCGGCAGCCCCAGACAAATGAAGAACCGTGTGAATTCTGGTTCTGTACGTGATACGCTGTTTTCCCTTTACCCCTTGCCATCATCCCCTCCATTTCCCCCATGTCAAGTGTCTTGATCCCAAACAACAGCACTGGAAACCGTGCCAGGTGCATCACTCGATGAAGAGTAGCTCCTTCTTTTACACTAGCCGGAATTGTAGTCACGAAATGTACTTAAGATGGTTTAATTTCTGGGCGTTGCGGATTTCACAACCTCATAGCATGAATATTTATGCTCATGTATAAGTCTGCAATACATTTCGTAGATCTTGAGTTTTTTTGAGTGACATGATGACGTGTGCAATTGGATAATTCATATCGAATTAAATAATGCGCCGATCTTTGTATAACTGGAAAATCATGCAAATGTTTGATACTGATTTTTTTTTAAAATTAAATAAATTTTATGTTAGTTGGCATCTGATCCCTGCAATGTTAGATTGACGGGATAAAAGTTATATATAGTTTATTATTTGCGTTTTGTCATGCAGCTGTTTGCTGGCATCTTCATGTTAGATGAAAATTATGTTAGGCAAATTATTGATTGTTCGTGTTATGAGTTCAAGATGACCATTCAGTGTACGTAAACACGCGTCTGGCAGGTGGCGATGAAATTCTGGCATATTGGATCATAGCTGAAGGAGTTTCTGTTTGTGGTTGCGTGCTGTGTGTAATACGGCTAGAATCTTAATCAGGGTGCTCTGAAACTTCTCCCATTAAGGAATGTTCCGCACGAGACGGTTTTCATTCGTAGTGTGGAGTTTATGCACAGGTGCAAAAATTGACCCAATTCTTCCGAAATTGATCCCCGGTTGTTAGAAGCCCACATTTCATATGTTAAATGCCGTTATACAAACCTCAGTGGCTCATTTGATAAAAATAATTCATGCGTGACTTTTAGTTATTTGTTTCCTTGTGTTATATGTATACAAACTGACATTCTGATCAGTTAGATTGAAGATTGTAGCCAAAAACTCTTATAAAACAAGTAAATTAAGTAAATGATTGTGCAGACGGTGTAATAAGTACTTGGAATTGTTCTGAGAGTCGACTGTTAAGGGAATTAAAGCTTCTTATGTCGCTGCACAAGAAACCTGCTTTGTTGTCGCGAAATGTTAAGCAATGATAGGGATATACTTGAGTTATAGAAAGTCTTCGGTCATAAAAGAACGGTCACCGGAAATTAAATGTCTTTTTTGTTCCAAAGTCTATAGCTAGGACCAGAATAACCTTGAAGGAGTAGAGAGACGACAAAGCTTTTTTTTGAAGGGAGAGTAGAAAGGGTTTATGAAGGTCAAAATATACAGCCCAGAAAATAAACATCAGCCCAGCGGCGTTCCTTTGTAATGGCGACAGTTAAGACGCGCGTAAAATATTTAGTAGATTGTTCTGTTCAGGCCTCGGTCGGTTTTTCTGTCTTTATAATGTAGCAATTCTGCGCCATTTTCGGTTTTGACAACAGCAGTTCTTGCGTACATGGGAAAAAATCTGTGCTTCCTCACCGAGCTCCGGATTCGTTCAAATCGTAACTTATGTGTGTCCTTGATCGAGTTAGATTGCCTAAGAGTCGATTACCTGATACACCGTGGGCATTCCAACAGCAGTAGATACATAAGCACGTGTCAACATTGTGCGTTCCTTGCATTAAGTGAATCAAATAGACAGACACGTGGTGGCGTCGATGTTGGTATTCTGGGCAGTAACGCCGTCTTCGTATTCAGCCCAGAAGATGGAGGCAGTATGTTCCTTCGAATCGTATCTTCCTACAGGTCCACACGGCATTTGTGCCCAGGTGACCAGAGTAATAGATATGTTATTCGGCTCGAAAACCCAAAATCTCACAGGATGGAGATTTTCTGTATTCGTTCTGTATTTCAACTCCGAAACTATTCAACTGAATTCGATGAAATGGTATTTGGACCTTACATTACAAGTTGTCGGCAGATTTTAATTTTAATTCATATCGGCCAGTGTTGTCCCTACTTTACATCAGGTTAAAATTAAACGTTGTTGATCGTACAAATAAATGTTTTGGCTTATGGCATAAAACCTGGGCCTTATTAAGTGACTGTTAGAAACATTTTGCTGTGAATATTTAAAAAGTAAAGCGACCCCGTTACTTGCGAATGTTGGCACTTCCGGAAGGGGAGTACAGGTAAACCTCGATTTACGCCGGGGATGCGTACTTGGACGAACCGGCGTAAATTGAAACTCTTTTTTTTATAATGTAAATCAATGGGAAGTCAATGACATGCGTTCCCGGCACCCGAAGATCATCAAAAATTAACTTCGCCTTATCAATGACAGCAATTTCAGTCAAGGGAATGTTTTTTTCGATTCATGTCATCCACCCGTAGCGACAGTAATTTCTCCGTTCTTTGACGTACGCGACTTTTTAGCAACACACTCACTTCTCTTACCAGACATTATAAATATAAAACAGTTGCTACTGCAGAATAGTGGTCGAACAACACAGACACGTTTAGCACATTCAATGTGTCAACAAGAAAGGAACTGAGCGCATTTTTCCTTACTCCCTTATCAGGCTGAACGCAAATGACCAATGCTCACGTGACTGTTGCGCAATGTTGGCGGATTTTTAAGAGATTATCTCGCGACTACTTAGCAATGAGTGCAGAGGAGACTGTATTTATAACTTTTATTCAAAATCAGCGATGTAAGAATTACGATTTAGTATAAGAATCGGTACGAGAAATATTTTAAAACGTTATAAATAATAGTAAAAATATATTTATTTTTTTTTCCACTTTTTGACTTTCTGGTTTCAAAAGCGGCGTTATTCTGAATCGGCGCAAATCGAGGTTTACCTGTATAAAGAAAAAATAATTTCTAATTCTCTTTAGTGTGCACAGATTTGTATTTGTATCGTAACGGGAGGAGCATTTGGCCATCGTTGGTTCTTATTGTCGGAGAAAATACGTAATTTTTTCCCTCGGATATGTGCTGCTGGAGTCCAGTGTTAGGCCAGGGGTCTCACCGTGCGTTCCGCGACAACTCTTCATGTTGCCCCTTTAACGTATATGTACGTAAAATAGTGTAGTTGCGTCATATTGTGATTTATTAAATTAAAATTAAATTATTTGGTTATTCCGTCAAATCACAATGTATTTAAATTAAGATAATTGATATTTTAATTATTTTAATTATCTTAATTTAAATACATTGTGATTTGACGGAATAACCAAATAATTTAATTTTAATTATATGTACGTAACTTAAACAATGGCCGTGAATGCTCCAGGCCCTGAAATTCTGGGTCATTGTATTTGTTTAACGTTGTGATTTCAATCAATTTGAATTTGTTTACAGTTCGTTATTTGGTAGGACTGTGTTGTCAACATCAGTTGCAAAAGACGTTTCTGTAAGACAGCGGTCAGTTACCTCAAACGAATGTGTGACTGCTCGTAACAGTCTACAAATATTGTTAATTATTCTGCCTGTGACACTTGGTTTGGAGTGGGGGAATTACGTTATGAATTCTCTCTCCAACAAAATTTATAGTATTTCTTGTTGAAACTGATGTTGGAAGTTTCCGCCGGGAATTTTGAATTGTAGTTTGTTTTTTTCAAGTATCGGTCAGCCCACATCCAGATGTTTATGTTGTATTTATTACAGAATTGAATGCCGACTGTAACAGATGTCAGTTGGATTGTGTGTAATTAAAAACGAACTGAAAATGACTTTCTTCTAGGTTATGGCTCCGTGTAGTCTGGTAGACGTTTGACGACGTTTCAGAGGTCCTTGCGGAGGTAGCAAGGACTTCAGAAACTCTGGTAAACTCCTGCCAGTCTACACGTCGCTACAACCCAGAAAATCATCTTCATACGCGTCATATCATGAAGAATAACTAGGCTAAAATAAACATAAAGACTTATTTGGCGTTTTTATTAGAAGCGTTAAGCGGATTATGAATCTGGTATTCTATAAGGGAAGTAGCCAGATGAATATTTTTTTTAAAAAAAATTCTAAATCTTTGTGTTAGTTTGTAGTGACAATATTGCTGTTTTGAAAGAAAATAACACGTTCTTCATATTGCCCTCGCCACCTACTCTGTTCAGGAGCTTGCAATCGCCGTCCAAGAGACCCTAGTGGTAACTGCTTCCAAGCGTCGACCGCGTAGTGACCTGAGGTCTTCTTACCCACTAGTATTAAGGATGAAATACGCTTGAGTAATCCGTTGAAGAAGCTAGTGGCAGGTCACGAGCGCCCCGCTCTGGAAGGTCGTGTAAACCACATCTAGAATTCTGTAACTTGTTGGCTGAACTAGTGGAGTAATTAATAATGCTGGACAGTGATGCGATTTCCGCCTCTCTTCGAATTCCTAGGACCAGCTCAATTGGATTCCGAGAAAGCAGAAGTCCTTGCCGAAAGATTTGAAGTTCAGTTTTAGTCGGTTATTAGAATGATTAATGAGGCGATGCGTGGCCAGCCCTTCGGAGGTCCTACTGGCATACCATGAAGAGTCTCTGGGCCCGAACGGTGTTCCGAATAGGGAGGGTCCTGTTTGAGACACCCACCAAACGGCGCGATAACCATCCTCACGACATTGTTTAACGCAGTCCTCCGTAGACAATACTTCCCACCAGCAAGGGAAAAAAGCGCTCGTGTGGTATCCATACTTGAACCGGGAGAGACCCCACGCAGAATTTTTCCTCTTGGCACGTTAAGGTACAATTTGGCTGCACGCGACCGAGGCAGGCGACAGAGACGGGAGACGGACACATCACAGCTTGTCGCCACACACTTTTGAGGTGACGACCGAGACATGCGGCAAAGTGTTT